CATCAATAGGAAAGAGGTGAACTGATTACGTACCGAAACTAAATTTGAAATTTGTTTTGGAATTATTATGACTTATTTATTATATGGTTAGGTTCTTAAAAGTGGTGTTATTGTGAAACAAATTATCGTCTGAAATAGAATTCTGATGTAAACAAAAGAGTTTACATTATAACAAATAGCTTAAATTTATCTCTTTCAAAGTTTTTAGTTATTTTTTTACTTGAACTAAAAATCCTTTTTTTTTTAGATAAAAATAGGATAGAAATATTTTATGCTGCAGGCAAGAAACAGCGATTCGGAACATTTGGGTCATTGAATTAAAACTTTTTTTATTTAGTAAAAATATTATAAAATAAAAATATTCATTAAAATAAAAATATTTATCGTAAAAATACTTATAAAAACACGTTTTCCCTTGTTAATTGAAAGAAAAGTAACAGTTTTTCATTTAAAAAATAATATTGTAGAAGAGCTTAATGTGTTTTGTAGTTCAGATTAGAAGAATTTAAGTTGTAATCATGTCAACGTTTGTACCTTAAAGGGCTCTTACTACCAATTAATTATTGGTCCAGATGCTTTCTACAATAACATAATGATTTACCTTTTGAAAAACATAATGATTGACCTCTTTATAATTATGAAAAACCTGGTTCTGATGAAACTGAATTTGCCACCTACTGTACAAGTATTTTATTCGATATTGATTTACAATTTAAAGTACTTAAAATTGAAAAAGTAATGAAATTCTTATAGGCTAATGTCAACAAATCTTACATTTTTATTCCCACATTGTTATACAAAATTAGTTACACTTGAATGAGAAACCTTCTCTTTCATTGAAGTAAATAAAAAATAAGACTATAAATCTTATTTCCATATTATTATTTGCAAAAATAAAATTATAATTAGAACCTTTTGTAAAATGTTTGCAACCCATAAAATAACATCATTTGTTTATATAAGTTATTTTTTTTTATCTCGAATTAAATTTCGGAATATAAATAAACGTGTGCAATATACACAGTTCATTGAAATGGTACGGTGCATGGTTATGAGCAGTGTTTTGTCAATTTAGTAGGTACAAGAACGCGAACGTGTTATTTTAACATACCTCACCATTTTCTAATATATTTCAATTTTTGCTCCAAAAAAAGCATTTCAAACGTCCAAGTGAACCTCAATGTGAATATTGTCACTCTAGACTAGGTTGTATGTGCTATATCCCTTTGCCTTTAATTATGCCAGAAAGTAAAGTTGATTTATGTTCCGTAGAAGCTTAGCGGGAATTTTATATAGAGTTCACCTTTATTATAAATTGTTAATTGTATAAAGTGATTTGTACTATACTTATTGAATTTGCAAGTGAACAATTGTGATCCATTGACATAGGATGATAAATGAATGGTTATTAGAAAAAGTGGAATGATTGTGTCAAATCGTACAACAAACGTAGAAAAATGCAATGGAATAATGTAAAAATTTATGTAGTTTTTTATGAATTGTTTTTTATTTGTAAAATAAATAAGTTATATCCAAATTGGGTTTTATTAAGAATTAAATCAATATCAGTGTTTAATAAAAAATAAAGGGAATAACCTAATGTAACGTGTATCAGTTTGGTACAAGTAGGTGGCAAATTCAGTTTCATCAGAACAAGGTTTTTCATAATTATATAGAGGTAAATCATCAAGTTTTTCAACAGAAACATATTTTAGAAAGCATCTGAAGCAATGATTAATTGGTAGTATGAGTCCTTAAAGGAACAAACATTGGCATGATTACAACTTAAATTCTTCTAATTGGACCTACAAAACATATCAAACTCTTTTACAATATTATTTTTTTAATGAAAAATTGTTATTTTTCTAGTAGTTAACAAGGAAAAACATGTCATTTATAAATATTTTTACGATAACCGACGGAAAATGGCCGGTAGGCAAATTTGATAGATAAGCTACGGATAGTAAGTTTGACAGCTCTACCGAAAGATATTGAAACACCTGTTTGCGCCATTTTCATACATTTTGCCTACGAACGGTTATCAGTATCAGATCAATCCGTTAGTAGCACACCGTCGGTAGCTTTACCTACCAATGGTATGTTATTGAAACACTTTTTTGCTACTATCGGTAGGAAATGCTACGGATGGTAGGGAAAACGGGTAGTTTTTTGGCTTTTTAATTTTATCAGGTATAACTCATTGGTCATTTAATTTATGACGTAGCCCAGCTTCAGTGTGTTGACAGTCTGTCTCATAGACATAAATAATATCATGCCATTTTGCAAGTTTACCACCAAAATTATTCCTGATACATTTTATCAAGTGTGTAGAATCATAATGTTCAAATCCACCCCACATATTTTAAGAATGCCAACTGAAACAAAAATTTAAGAACTTCTTAAAACATAGATAACAATATAAAAATAAGAACCTTCACTACTTTCATTAAATCTATTAGTTTTCTTTCATATAAATATAATTCTCTGTACCAACCTGTGATTTCAATTTAAAATTTGATCACACTAAGTGTCTTCTTTTAGATTTTTGAGTGCTGATTGGAAAGCTGAGCCTTGGTCATATATTATTGCGATGGGATTAAGGTCCAATTCAACAACTTTTTCTACTACTAACTTTAAAATATTCTTGATGTACAGTAGATGTCGCTCCTTGACAGAAATAAATAAACATAAAGGCTGTTGCCACTTGTAAACAGCCTTAAATACCCCCTTATCTTGGAGGATTTTTTTTAATTGTTTTAACGGCAACGGGTTCTTGCCCTTTTTGCCAAACTTATTATCTTACAATCAGTTCATTATAAAACAAGGAAAGATAAATCCATGCACTAAATAGTTAAATTAGTATTTTGTATATAATCATATAATGCTTTATAGCATCTTGTATCACCGAGGAGCGTATGTAAAACTTCACTGTTATTGTCAAGAACATCACTGTCGCTGTCACTATTTAGATTTGTTACCTCACTCGCTAAAATCAGTCTATGAATTTTAAAATCTTGCTGTTGGCATTTCAATAATAAATGATTTAAATCGGCACCTTCTTTGTAACAATAAATACACTTAGAGTTGCTGATGATTTTCAGTCTGTGCAGATGGGCAGGAGTTTTGCCGTGGCCAAATCTCATACGGCAATTGGTGGTAATTAGAGACTTAGGCAGCGGTTTATAGATCCTTTAAGTTTTGATGAATGGTACCACGGACGAGTGGGCAATGTCTTTTGTAGGTCGTGGTACCATTTCCCCTTTTCTAATGCAATTGTATGCCAATAGTTGGTCCACAACAGTTTGTGGGATTCTGTTAGGTAGGTGTTAAAGTCTAGATTAAAGTAAATTCTGTTAGGTAGGTGTTATTATTGAAGAAAATATTACGGTTGAACCTGAAAAAAAAAATTTTAGGGGTATTTTTAGACACAAAACTCACAGGTGTTGCGCATTGCAATTATATTGTTGTCAGAACTGAACGTCTTTTAAACATTCTTCGATGCCTCTCCGGAGTTTGGTGGGGCGCTCATTCCCAATCTCTTAAATTAAATTATAACGCCTTGATACGCAGTCTATTAGATTATGGCACATTTCTATTAGAACCTGGCAATAGTTGTGCTCTTAAAAAACTGGATAACATCCAATCCAAGGCCCTTAGAATAATAATTAGCGCTATGAAATCTAGCCCTATAAATGCGTTACAAATTGAGTCTTGTGACCCCCACTGAATTTAAGACGTCAATACCGTCAATAAAATAATTGAAATTTAGATAAAGCTTGTAGAGAGCTCATGAAATCAGTGAAAATTATTGTTTTCTTGAGTTTCATTAGAATCACGTATTCTACAGCTTTCAATAGACCCAAACATTCTCCTGTAAAGACGGATGACTCTGGAGAAAACTTAATTTTATGTGAAATATTGTACTGAGAATGATATATCAGAATGATAGACAGGTAAGTAAGAGCGATTACAGAATTGAAATTTAGATAAAGCTTGTAGAGAGCTCATGAAATCAGTGAAAATTATTGTTTCACTTAAAATTAAATATTGTACTCAGTACAATATTTCACATAAAATTAAGCTTCCTCCAGAGTCATCCGTCTTTACAGGAGAATGTTTGGGTCTATTAAAAGCTGTAGAATACGTGATTCTAATAAAACTCAAGAAAACAATAATTTTCACTGATTTCATAAGCTCTCTACAAGCTTTATCTAAATTTCAATTATGTAATCGCTCTTACTTACTTGTCATATTTGAAATAAGGAACTGCTTATTAAAATGTTGTTCATTAGATTACTTGGTGGAGTTTGCATTGTTATCGAGCCATAGTCGAATTACTGGAAACAAATTTTCTGATCATCTAGATAAAGATGCAGTAAATAGTGGTGATATGTTTCCCTATAAAAATTATAGCCAAGATCTGCTATCTTTGCTCATGTGCTACTTACAGACCAAATGGAATACTGATTGGACCACTAGTAGTAAATTCAAAGGAAAACACTATTTACTAATTCAACCTACTATCTTACATAAACCTTGGTTTCGAAAAGCGAAGTATGGAAGGACTGCTACAAGTACTCTTTCACGTATGCGTCTTGGACATGTTTGTTCTCCAGCACATTTAGCCAAACTTGGAATCATTAGTCATGCGAATGTGACCTGTGAGTGTGGGATGGATACTGGAGATCTAAACCATATATTTTTTGCTTGTATAAGCTACGATCGCACGGTCTTCCTTAATGACCTATTGTCCCTTCGTGTTCCTTTCCCGACATCAATCGTTTCCTTACTATCCACAAATAACCTATCCATTTATAATTGCATAGTATCATATATAATTTTAAATAATATTAAACTCTTACCTATTCTGTATTCTATATATGTATTATAAAATTGTGTAAATATATCTTCTTTCTCCTAATTCCTAAGCCTTCTGAACCTATCCCATAAAAAAAACCGTTCCAATTTCTATTTCCTTTCGTTTCCGTTTCCCAAACTTTGACAAGGCTAAGCATAAACAGTGCAAGCCAAATAAAAAAAAAAGCAAAAAGAATTGTCGGGCAAAGAGTAGTATTGAGTAGTATAAATAAGTGTAATTATATGATTGTATGTGATTGTATGTAACATAAATTCGAACGAGTATGTTTTTAAAAATTAAACAACTAATTCGATTAAATGTTACGTCATCATATAGATGTGCCATGTTTTATTCTAATCAGAATTCTAAAATATCAGCTACAGATGCCAGGATCAGCATAAGCGAAAATTGTGTCAAACAATTGAAACAACTGGGATGTGAAGGCAGTAATGCCTTCCTAAGATTGTGCGTAGAAAGTGGAGGCTGTTCCGGGTTTCAGTATAAGTTTGATCTCGATGATAAAATTGCAGATGATGACAGGTTGGATACGCTTTATGCAATATGATCAACGAAAAAAAACTTGCTCTATCTGCCAAACAGATAGTAACACAATAAAACGTAAATTGACAGTCCAGAATTTACTTTTCTAAGAGGTTGAGTAAAATGTTATTGCGTAAGAATCATTTTGTTGCATTTTTTAAATAGTTAATTTTTCTATTTGTGTAACCAAAACCATATATTAAAACAAGAAGTGTGTTATTATTTGACTCATCTTTTGATATCAAACTTATGCCTAATCTCAGTTACTGAGAAATTCATGATTACTACAATAATGTAATTTACTTATGTTTCAGAATTTTTGAACAAGATGGTGTTAAAGTGGTGATTGATGAAACTTCTTTGGAGTATATCAAAGGATCTACAGTTGATTATCATACAGAGTTAATAAGATCTGCATTTAGAGTTATTCAAAATCCAAATGCTGAATTAGGTTGTTCTTGTGGTGCAAGCTTTTCTGTAAAAATTGATTAAAAAGTTATATTAAGAGTAAAATGAATATTAAATTATCTTGAAGATATGATTTATAAATATCTCAAAATTTTGAAATCTTAATGAAAAAAACTTAAAAAATCCACTTTGTCCACCTTCTCTGAGATGGGTTTGAACCTTTCGCAATCCAGGCAACTGCTCTGAAATCTATCAACAACTTTCTTTCATAAGATCATGATGGACAACAGGATAAGCTGAAGCTGAAAAGATAGATCTACTAATACAGCAGATTGGGACATTGTTAAATCTTGTATCAACGGTGATCTCTAAAATGAATCTATAAGCAATAACTTCTTTGAAGAAAGAGCAGCCTGGAACATAAATGAATTTGCTCCAAATATACTTGAAGTTAACATATTTAGATCCAAACAAAATAGATATACTCTTAATATCGCATTCACATCTTAATGATCAATGATCTGTTAAATTTGAGGGTAATAAAATCTATTACTCAAACTTCCCTGATGGAACTTCACTTGCGGGAGCTGCAATCATAGTAAAAAATAATATCAAAAATTACTCACTCCCTAAGACCAGAAGTCAACATTTTCAGATGGCCATAGTGTTGGTTCCAGATTGGACAGGTGATCTAAATATTGCTGCTGTTTACTGTCTTCTAGGACCACCTATTGACGAGAACATGTACAAACATTTCTTTGTTTCCCTTGGCACTAGATTTATCGGAATTCGAAACACATTCTGGGGATTGTGACTCATAATGACTAGAGATTGTAAACTAAAGTAATGCATAGATGCATTTCACTTACAAGTCTACTCTACAGGGGAACCTACCTATTGGCTGATTGACCCTTGTAAAACACCAGATCGAATAGATTACTTTATTGTCAAAAATGTTACAACTATATAAAACTAGAATCCAGTTTTCATAGCACTTCTGATCACATACCAGTTATTTGTACATTAAGCATTACTGTCATTAGGATAGTGCAAATAGGGAAAATATATAACCATAAAACTGATTGGGACCTATTGATTATATTAATCCACATGTAGACCTGATGGTTTCACTTAAAACAGAAGATGGGGTGGACCAAGCTTGAAGGTGGAAGAAGATTGGAACTCAAGACCTTTCGCAATCCGGGCGACTGTTCTAACCATTGAGCTACCCAGGACTTAACAGGACTGATGAATCTTTCAAGCACTTGTTACTTTTTCGCTACTACAGACAGTATTCTCATCAATGTTCAGGCAAAGCCGAAGTAACAAGTGCTTGAAAGAATCATCGGTCCTATTAGGTCCTGGATATCTCAGTGGTTAGAGCAGTCGCTCTGATTCGCGAAAGGTCATGGGTTCGAATCCCATCTCAGGGTGCCAGGGGCCAAGTGGATTTTTTAAGCATTTTTCACTAAGAATACTAAACTATCTAATTCATTTTATAAAGTATTAAAATCATATGAAAGTGATGGACAGTTTCAAATACAAGTCGATGAAAGTATATCGTCATATAAAGAAATTCATGCTGGCGTACCTCTAGGTTCGGTTTTAGGCTCGGGGATGTGTGTTATTTACACATCTGATCTTCCAAAATCGAAAGATATTCTAAGAGTAACGTATGCAGCAGTGTTAGCTAGTAGTCGTTGCCCTAAAGAAGTTTCAGGAATGTTTCAAAGAAACCTAAATAAAATCCAATACTGGCTTGAAAAGTGAAGAATTAAAGTGAGTGCATCAAAATCTAATCACATGATTTTTACACTGGAACTGGCAACTGTCCGCCAGTTAAGTAGCACAATGTAACCTTACCGCATCAAGAAAGTGTGAAATATCTAGGGATGCATCTCGTTCACAAGCTGAAGTGGAAAAACTCGCATAAAGGCCAAGAGACATCAGGCGAATATAAAAATGAGGAAAATTGACTAGCTGATTGGAATAAAGTCATCATTGAATTTAGTTAACAAATCACTCAATATAAGACTGTCGTTAAACCAATGTGGTCATACGGCAATTAGCTCTGGGGATTGGCTAGTCTATCTAATGTAGAGAGATATTACAACGCTTCCAAAATATGTCTCTAAAGATTATTGCGTATTAGAGAGAGAATAGAAGTATAATGATATTGATTTAGTATGGGAACCGAGTGTCGCCTCTCCGCACACAAATACAGATTAGATGAAATGATCATTTTGTTCACTACATGAAAAACTGCCACGCGATACGTTCGTGATAACATAAACAGAATCCCAAAAAGATACTAAGCTAAGAAATCACACGATTAAAAACAAACTCTAATTCAACGTGATAATAAATAATTTACTTTAACATGAATGTTGAACTGTCACGTGGCTGTATACGGGGATACCAGAAGGGAAAAAATATTTTAAGATTATGCACATTTTAAAAAATTGGGGACATCATTTTATGTGCGAACTATTAAGATTAGATTTTGCTGTAACCAAGTGAATATTAAAAAATAACGCTTTTCCCTATATAACTTCTTTTAAAAAACGCAGTACAAAAACTAAGAAAACTTAATGATAAACTCTATCATATGTCTGTGGAGTAATATAATTAAGCGAGGGAAAGTGTAAAAAAAAAACAAAAATTAAGAAACCAACAGAATTTTTGTATTAATTACATTAAGCCTAATTTGTAATTTTTTCTTACTGGTATCATTCCGATTGTGCATATTAGTGATGTGACATAATAGTAGTTGATGAAATAAGAGGTTTAAATTTTGTTATGAAACAGTAAAATGTAATTCAGTTCGACAATGTTCTACAGTGGTTTGATAGTAATTATTTAAAGCTTAATTCAAATAAAATGAAATACATAAAGTTTGCATTACCTAATGTGAGGCATATTAATACACTTATAAATGTAAATAGTGAAAAAGTTGAGTTGGTGAAATCGACAAAGTTCCTTGGTATTACACTAGATTCCCGACTGCAATGGGATCCTCATATTGATAATTTGTCAAGTAGACTGAGTTCTGCAGCATTTGCTGTTAAGCAAATTAGACTCTTGACAAATGTTGAAACGGCAGGATTGGTATATTTTAGTTATTTTCATAGTGTAATGACGTATAATCTATTGTTGTGGGGTTCTGCGGCTAGCATTCAAGATATTTTTATTCTACAAAAGAGAGCTGTCCATGCTATATATAATTTACGGTCTAGAGAATCTCTCAGAGAAATATTTAAAGAAATAAATATTTTGACTGTTGCCTCTCAATACATCAATGAAAATATTATCTACGCAAGAAAACATTACGATTCCTTCACAAAAAAAAGTAGTGTTCATAATCATAACACAAGAAATAAAAATAAACTTGCCGTTCCAAGCTTCAGACTTCAGAAAACCAGAGGATCAATGCATTTACATTGCTATGTTCAATAAAGTTCCACAAAATGTAGTTGACCTACCCATAAATAAATTTAAAATTCATGTAATGAACATACTTATGAGTAAAGGCTATTATAAAGTTGATGATTATTTTAAGAATCGCAATGCATGGAATGAATAGCCATCGCTTTGTTCTATAAAGACTAATTATATGTTCAACCTATGTCCTACAGACTTTGAAAGTTGTATTTATTATTGTGATAAGATATGAAATGACATGATTTATGTAAATATCATAGGGCTGGTAAGTTTCTTTCGCTTGTTCTTCTTGTCAGCTAAAAGACGTCCTGAACAAGTGGTAGGGGAAAAAAAATTTTTGGACGATTCAAAAGCGATTCATAATAACTAATATGATCATTACAATAATAAATTGATCATAGCCATGTTTGTTTTACTTTATTATTCTAAGTTTTATAACTGTAATAATAATAGTACCTACATTTTTAATTGCAACGACTGGACAATAAGGAATCGCTGGTCAAGTATGAGTTTGAAAGCCGTGACAAAAAAGTTGAAGACAGACACAAAAGCGATAAGTACGTACAAACGTCAATCTACATATAAAGTCACATCCGTTTGAGACATGCGTTTATAAACTTATGTGCAAATATGAAGCAACAAAAAAACTGATAAAAGCTGTTCTGTGGGCGGTTCTTTAAAGTGGCTATCTTAACTCGATTTCTATAATAATGGTTTCCGATTATGAATCAGCATAATAAAGTAAATTAAATTGACGCCTATAAATTAATTTTGCAAATTAAATTCACACCACCAACAATATTACGTTAGTTGAAAACATGATTTTTTGTTTGTATAGATAATATGTTGTTTTGAAATTCATTTGATAGGTTTAGGTCTAAAACGGATAGGACAAAATAAATTATGTAAACAGGGCAATCCGTTGTAAAGTTATTAGGGAAACTGAAATATAAGTAATGCAAAATAAGTGAAATCCAGTTTCACCAGTTCCTAATAAGACCTATTAGGCCAACACTCGTAGCTTTTCACGGAGTTTCGTTTGATTTATATATTGTTCATAAAACGTTGATATACTTCGTAACTTAGATATTTATAGCACATCAGTATTTTTTAATATTTATCTGCGTGTAAATAATTAACCGAATCTTCGTAAAAAAGTGCCTGAATAGTTCATTATTTCATCTGTTCAGTATCAATTTATCTTTTATTTTCAGGAGGCACAGCACTATTTTTTGCAAAAGTGCACAATATGATTTACATTGCTGTCTAGAAACGGGGTTAGAAACATTAATGTTGGTTTGAGCAAACAATGTATATTTTATTTGAAATTGTGTCAAATTATTACGTTTTTTATATTTTAGCACTAAAATTGTACTTACCAGTGAAAGGAAATGTTTGCATTAGTTAGATTGTATACTTTGTTTTGCTTTTTGCAAGTGATAATAGAAAACGGTATTTTTATAGAAAAAATCAGTAAAATCACCACTCGACGATTGACGAACGACTGACAAATATAAAACCGAGGAAAGGGCGTCATATGAGTAAAAGCGCATATGCCAGCGACGCTTGCCCCGCCCACTTACTACTTCTATTCTCTCTCTATGAATATTTTCAGGTTCCCACAGATATTGAGCTAGGAGTATTTAAATCCTTTACAAAACGTAAAACATAAACTAGAATGCTAAGTAATTAGGAATATTTAGAAATTCGATTTATTAAAGCTTGAATGGAATCGTAATAATATTTTAGCTAACTTGAGCGGTCTTAAAAATATTTTTAACTTTCATGAGATCTGACGTATTAATTAATTAATTCATTGAGTAACTGGATACGAAAGCCAATGGGGGGCGTTAAACCATACATAACTGAGATTAAATAATATTTTAGGCGTTACAGGACGAGAAACTATATCAGCGGGGTTTTCACGACCGTTGATATGAAACCAATGTTTAGCGCAGTGCCGTCTTAAGTCTATTCGGCGCCAGGTTGCGGGTCTCAGCCTGTGCCCTCGTTTTCTTTTACACACTACACGCGACCGACGACGCATTGCAGTATAAAAGGGGTCCTAATCAACCATAAAAACAAAATACACGTAATTTTGATAATTTATATAATTATTTATCTAAAATGCAAAAGTAAATTAAACTCAATTATACAAATAAAAAAAAAACAATTTTCCATTCTAGACATTATGTCCACTTTCAGGAATAAACAATAGAAAATGTGCCTACTTTGTATATCAATTATAGTTACAATTTAGTTTTTTCCACCGACATCGGCATCTGTACCGCCAGGTTGTCCTTTGACAAAGGCCTCCTCCAGCTTAGCCCATTCCCCTCTATCTCTGGCTGCTCTTCTCCATCCCTTCGGTAGGTCATCTTCCCATCTCTTTATCTGCCTACCTCTTTTCCGTTGTCCGTCACGAGGGTACCATTCTGTGATGTCTTTTGCCCATTTTGGTTTTGTTGATCTCATCATATGTCCTGTCCACTTCCATTTTAAGGTCTTCACTTTATGGATTACATCTACCACGCCTGTCCTCTTCCTTATATCCTGAAGACGTAGCCTATCTCTAAGTTTAACACCCAGGATACTTCTTTCAATTCCCTGCTGACATACTTTTAGTTTTGACACTGTGTAATTTGAATATGACCATGTTTGGCATCCATAGCTTAGCACTGGAAGTATACAGGTATCAAAAACTTTTCTTTTTAGGGATACAGAAATCGAATTGCATTTCATAACTCTTTTTAGGGACCAGTATCGTGACCATGTATTGCAAACTCTTCTCTGTATTTCCTTCTGCATTTGCAAGTTCGGTGTTATTACCTGTCCCAGGTAAATGTATTCCTCTACATATTCAACTTCTTGCATTCCCACCATCAGCTTTATTTTTGAGTTATTAGTCATTGCCTTAGTCTTGTTCAGGTTCATGGTCAATCCAGCTTTTGCACTTTCTATTTTCAGTTGTATCAACATACTTTGAAGGGCAGTCGGGTCTTCAGCAAAAAGGACAAGGTCGTCAGCAAACCGCAGATGGTGCAGTTTGCTACCGTTTATGTTTACTCCCATCTCATTCCAGTCTAGGTTTCTAAATATTTCCTCTAGAACGGCAGAGAAGAGTTTCGGGGACAGAGGATCACCTTGTTTTACACCTTTTTGAACATTGAACTCGGGGCCAACCCTTTCTAGTTGCACTTTGGTTGTGCTTTGGTGGTATATCTGGTATATGATTCTTATGTATTTATTATTAATACCCTGTTTATATAGTGTTTCATAGATAAAGTCATGTAGCAGGGAATCAAAGGCTTTGTTGTAGTCAACAAAAGCAATATAGTATGGTTTTCCGTATTCGTTATATTTCTCCATAAATTGTTTCACTACATGTATATGGTCGATGGTGGAGTAATCGCTACGAAAACCAGCTTGTTCTCTGGGTTGTTGTTCGTCTAGAACCTTTGATAATCTTCCAAGTAGTATCTTCGAAAAAACTTTATAAATGTTGGATATTAAACTTATAGGTCTATAATTGTCTATGTTATCTTTATCCCCCTTTTTATGTATGAGAACGATTGTTGATTCGGTCCATTGTTTAGGTATTTCTTCATTGTGTAAAATTTCATTAAAAATCTCTGTTAATGTTTGCCCTATAATATCGAAAGTCTCCTTTAGAAGCTCATTTGTTATTTTATCGTCTCCTGGTGCTTTATTGTTTTTTTGTGACATTACAGCTTTTTTGACTTCACTTAGGAGTATGTCTGGGATGTCTTCATCGTCCTGTTGGTAGGCTTCTATTTCTTTATAATCTTTCAAGGTGGTGTCGTGATACAAATTCCTATAAAACTGTGTCGCTATTGTGTTTATTTGTTGTCTCTTCACATGTGTTGTTGTATTTCCTTGGAGATTTTTACTCTTTATATTTGGTATCCAGGTTTTATGGTCCTTCAATTGTTTCCAAGCCTTTTTTATACCTCCTGTTTTCTCTATCTCATCTGTGATGTTATTTATTATCCTTTCTTTGTTGTATTTCCTGATTTGTACTGTAATTTTTTTGCTGATAGATTCTATAGTTTTGATGTTGTTTCTCCTATCCTGCAATAGCTTCCCCCTTTCTTCTATAAGTTTTCTTGCTTCCTCTCCTATTCTGTCTTTCTTTGTGCTGTTGGTTACTTTTTTATATATGTTTAGTAAGTACTGTTCCATTTTGTCGTACTTTTGCTGAGTTGAGGTTTTTAATTTCATATTTGGGAGTGTCTTTTTTAATTCCAATTTAAATTCCTTTGGCATACATGGTATCACATGGGGTGTTTTAATATTAAAGTTTCTTCTTGATTTTTTTGTGTTGCATGTTTTTATGGTTCCTCTTATCATTCTGTGGTTAGTACTGAAGTTTAACTTGTTGATTACTTCAATGTTCCGGAACTGATAGGGTATATTTGTGATTATAAAGTCTATGACATTTCTATGTTTACCATCGGGTGATATCCATGTCCATTGTCTTGATGTCTTTTTATTAAATATACTATTCATAAACTTTAGGTTATACTCCATTGCGAAGTTAACTAGTCTGTTACCGTTTTTGTTCCTTTTTCCTTTACTGAATTTTCCAATGATATGTTTTTCGCCCATCTGTGCCTCGCCAATTTGACTGTTGAAATCGCCTATTAGTATTTTTTGTTTATAAGTTTCCTCCATTGTGTTATGTAATGTAGCATAGAATTTATCTTTTTCTTCTTCCGAATTTTGCTCTGTGGGTGCATATATTTGGATTATTGAGATAGCGTGTTTGATTTCAGGGAGTTTAATATTTAATATAGCGATTCTGTCAGATTTGCTTTGAAATTGTTCAATATAATTTTTATAATACTTCTTGACTAGAAATCCGACTCCGTACATTCCTTGTTTTTCGCCATTATAGTAGAATATATAGTCGTCATATTCTCTTATCTCCTCTCCCATTCGTCTTATTTCACTGAGTCCTATTATATCCCATTTTATCTCTTCTAAAGCTTTCGATAGTTCTACTAGTCGTTCCTCAGTCCTGAGTGTTCTTGTATTCAGGGAACATATGTACAATTCATTTTCATTCTGTATGTTTTCCTTGTTTTTTGTTTTGACGCGTGAATATAGTGGTATTTGGGGTGTTGTTTTTATGGGTTTTTGGTTTTGTTTTTGTTTCTGATTTTGCTTTTGATTTTCTGGAGGGTTATGGTCTATTGTCCCACGGTGACCAGCCGGGTTGGGACATGTATTGCCTGTTGTGTATATTTTTCTGTTCTTTTCGTTTTTCCAGTTGCCGATGTCCGATAGTTGCTAGTTTTTGGTATCGAAACTAGAATCATACGATGATCAAATTAGAAATATATCGAGTTTGCCAAGGCATATATGCAGTGATATTTATCAACTATACTAAGTCATCATATAAAATATCGAATTTTATACTCTGCAATAAATATCGATTATCAGTATATCGAAAAATATCAATATCGCCGAAATAAATATCGATTTTTCACAAATCGATTATTTTTCTCAAGTTTTCTCCGTAGACTCATGAATTTTTATGGATCGCGGACACAAGTGTAAACATGTTTTTCATTGTCGCCATCACGGACCGAAAAATAACGGTCCAGAAAGGAGAAATCTTAAATTCTGGCCCGTAGAATTTTTGACAGTGCATTGGCTAGAATTACCTACATATGGCCTGACATATCGGACCGGAAAAAATTGGACTGCCGGACCTGAAAATTCAGTCTAGTGCACAAACGACCTTTTTATTGTAATATCATTGCGTGTAGTGGTTATATTATGAAATATCGAAACAAATATTTGGCACAAAATTATGATTGTATTTCAAAGATGCTACACAAATAAAACAACAATGTTAACCCTCTTAAATTTCAATTTATTTTTTCTAATGAGATTGAGATACATTTATTGCAGCCCACATGTTATCCAGTTTGGCTGGGGGTATGTTAATAACAGGTTCGGCCTTGTTAAAGGAATTGACAGCAGATCTGTAAAATAAGTTTATAACATTGTTAATACACGCAGATATGCAGATATAAAGTGGTTAAGGGACAGTTGCTTTAAGAATATTTCAAAACCAAAATCATCTAAATCGGCCTAGCCGTTCTCGAATTTAAGTGAGACAAACGAACAGCAAATGATTATATATAGATAGATAGATAGATTACCTATATACCTACATTTTAAAATTATCAAACCCTTCAATCAATCAATTATGATATGCTTATCCCCATCTTTTTTCTTTGTGGTCTATCAATTACACCCCATATGAAAAAAGTTTAAAGAAACTCCTCAGCTAACAGTAGAAAAGTCTACTGTTAGCTGAGGAACGATTCTGTAAAAATTCCGACCCAGAATTTGAATTCACTCATGTGTCCGAATTCAAGTCATTCAGTGTAGAAATTCTATTGGTTCCCTCTTTGTATAAAAAACACAAAACAAGATTGATTGATTCATACATGTCTCAAATGATCTATTCATATGTTATTACGAAACTCACTTCACTTATGTCACGAAACGTTATTACCAATTATGGAATCGTACGGCTGGGCTCATTTTTAATACTTGGTAGGGCTATTAGGATTTTTTTCCAATTATAGCTACCGGTAGGGATATATGGAATCTGTTACTCCACATATCTCCACTGATTTGTATTGGTTGGGATACTTGGATTTTTATTTCCATTTATATATTCAGATAAGTTTTCTAATATCAGGTTTGATATATTAAGTGTTCATAAAATAAAATTTAAGTCATGAAAACGATATACAAATAGTGTATGAGAAGGTAACTTTTAAAATGCTAGTCAAATTTGTACAAAATTATTTACCATTAAAAACATAACTTCGTTTGAGACAATATAAATCATAAAATTGTAAATGTATTGGTTTATTGTACAATATAATATATTGGTTTACCTTACCATATCTAAAGCACCTGCTGTAATATCTTAAGTTATATGTCATAACCTACTATTAGAAAACTTATTCCTACTAGTCGCTATAAATGGGTGTTGCTACTCGGCTGATCAACGTTTATCCGTGCAATTAACAACCTGACTGAATTTAGTTATAAAAATCGGTTTTTACGGGTCAGTTGAAGCAATTCGGAAATCAGCACAACTAATAAAAGTTATTAACTTACTGCTGTAAATCCCCATTAAAAACAAAGGAGGCTTCATTAATCTTCTTCACATTATGAGGCGAATAGCGATTGTACAGGCCCCAAATGCTGTTCATCAATTTGCTGTTGTACTTCAACGGTGTAAGCTCTGCAACTATAAGATAATGTTGATTTGTATAGTATTAGGAGCCGAACTACAAATACAGATTCAGAGTTTGTATTAGCTGCATATAATATAGACTAACAACTAATATGTCAGTACCAGAACAGACAATATTTTTCTAATTTACTAGAAAAAAAGATAATACACATACGAGGGTCAAACTGAAAGTTCTTAGAACTGGCCACTTATAAACAATATAATAAAAAAATAATTCTAAAATTTGAAAATATAACTCTTTGCCAATATTACTGAGTATATATTTCATTCATTTGTCATTTGTTTTACGATTTGGCGGCAAATTGAAAATTGTCTGTGTCACGTCATCATGAATTTAACACGAGAAAATTTTCGTGCAATGATTTTTTATGACTTTCGATGTCATTTAAGTCAACAAGAAAGTTATGATAGACTACGATTGGCCTTTCACGATGAAGCCCCATCTCGTGCGACTGTTTACAACTGGTTTAATGAGTTTAAACGTGGTCGCACTAATCTCACTGATGATTTACGTGGGGGACGGCCTTCTACGGCGACGACTGAAGATAACATCTGTGTTGTGCGGCGTATGATAGAGACTGACAAAAGAGTGACCTATCAACAGATTCGGACAAGCTTAGGCATCGGTATGAGTCAAGTGCACAAAATCCTCCACGAACATTTAGCGGTCAGGAAGCTTTGCGCCCGGTGGATACCTCATAATTTGACTGAGGCTCAAAAACTCCATCGTGTGGATTGGTGTCGTAAAATGATTGAAAGATTTAACGGAGGTGACTCAAATGCTGTGTTCGACATACTAACAGGTGACGAAAGCTGGATTTACTGTTATGATCCTAAAACCAAAAGACAATCTGCTCAGTGGGTGTTTCCTTTCGAGGAGTTGCCAACTAAAGTGCAGACAGATCGAAGTGCGGGAAAAAATGGTGGCCTCGTTCTTTGGAAGGATAGGTCATTTTGCAACAATTGTGTTAGAGGATCAAAAAACAGTTTCTGCAGAATGGTACACTACCAATTGTTTGCCACTTGTCTTGGAAAAAGTTCGAGAGAAACGACCTCGCAGTAGGATCCTCCTTCACCACGACAACGCCTCGTCGCACACCCGCCAAGCGAACGATCGACTATTTGGCGACATCAAACGTTGAATTACTGGGTCACCCGCCGTATAGCCCCGACCTCGCGCCTTGTGATTTTTATTTATTTCCAAAAATTAAAGAAAAACTTAAAGGAAAGCGGTTATGAATGCTGAAGAAGCGGTGGCTGCGTATCGCGATGCCATTGAAGAGACCCTAAGGACGAGTGGGCAAAGTGCTTTTCCCAGTGGTTCCATCGCATGCAGCGGTGTATTGACGTGAATGGACAATATTTTGAAAAGATATAATAAAACTAATAACTGGCTAATGTAATCAGTTTTTGATTTTCTAAGAACTTTCAGTTTGACCCTCGTATTATTCTAAAAAGGAACTCTACCTTAAATGCATTCAGATTTAAGATCAAATGGAAAAATTTGACAGTCTGTATAGCCTGTCGCGCTGCCTGTCTCAATTAAATGATAGAAGCTCTTACTGATTAATTGAAAAGATCGTTTATTCATAAATAATATTTAACAAAGAAAAGACGTATAATTTTTGGTACGGCAGGTCTACCTAGTGCTACCGCGGTGGATTTATATACCTACCTAACTTGGCTTCAAATTCAATCAAATGCATTTTACGTTTAATTTTGTATTATTTACAGTATGTAAGTTTAATACTTACATAGCTTAGAGAAGGGGTTCCCAAACTTAGGTCGTCTACTGACCACTTTGAGAATTAAAAAAAAAATGGGTTTTTCACCTACTTAAAAACCACTATACTTAAAATTATATTAATTATAAACAATACTTTATTTTAAACAACAGCGACCGATTGACATGAAATTTATTTTATTTATTCAATAAAACAGGACACATATGCGTATATAAATTACACGAAGAATAGAATAGAATTGAGTTAAATATATATAAATATTAGTTGATGTTCACAACTTGTACTCGATACGACTATCGACTACAAGCAGTATCAAAGAGTCCTCGTAGATGAAATTACAAATCGCCCCCCTAACCCTTCTTCTTTTCGGTCAGTCAGACAGACCTAAATTAAATATTTATACCTATGGGTACTGAATCAATTTTTTTTTATAGATCGCGATTTGATATAAAGTAAATAATGGCAAATTGATAGGTTAGTAGTGATCCTGGCGCAGTGAAAAGCTGTGTCCCCATCAGAGTTGAATCTCTGATTTGATTTGAATTCTCGACGGGCCTGGTGGGAGGCTTCGCCTCTTACTTAAGTGCTTACTATTACAATATTACAATCAGAATACGTTCACACACACTCATCAAGCTTAAAAAATATTTATCTTATGTATACCTAATGATACTTACACTTGGTTTCAAAGAATTTGCCGTATTCGCTGTGCTTAGGAAATAAAGCAATTTTTTTATCTCGGTCGCTCAGTCTCTCGCGCACCCTTCCCGCGGTGAAAGTGCAAGGGGGAATGGCAGCCATAGTTTTTATTTGACAGGCTGTAGGGAGAAAATAGGTACCTTATTAAATGCATTGTCCTGATTGGTATTCGGCTTTGTGTTACACAATCGGATTAGGAAAGTTTTGGTTGCCAGGCGGAAACAAATTTTCGTCTCTTATTCTATCGTGGTTGATGCCGTCGTATGTAGTTTTATATAGCCACAAACGCAAACAACACACATAATATTTACTGATATCAAATTGAGTGGGGAATAAGACAGTTTTGTCTATCCTGAAATGCTGTACATAACTAAAGTTATCAATTTTTGGTGTACGCGCCCCCTTAAGTAATAATCTAAGTAATTTTATACATGTATTTTGGCTTATTGTTATCAAGTGAGGTAGCAGGGTCTGAGACAGGTATTTTACAAGGAAGTATATATTTTATTTGGGCTCAAAGACAGTGGGTTCTCTTAGTTTGTCTATTTGATAGAATTTTTGAAGTCGATCACCGATTAACTTCTTGCGACTACCTTAAGTTATACCAGATTATTGTAGAACGTAAAAATTTAGTTTTGTTGATTAATAAGTAAGTATATGCAAAGTATTGTACGAGTGTTAGTAAACACTCGTATCTATATTCGTGAAACGTAATTACTTGAGAAAATGTAATTATATAAGCAAATATAAATTCTAAACTTTTAAGATTTCTTACTTCATTTAAATTCTTGTTAACCTATCCGTTACAATTCTTGTTTACCTATTTGCTTAAGTTATGACACTTTCTCAAGTAATAAACTACTTCTCTCGACTAAAGATACAAGTGTTACAATGTATATTCTATGCATATTACCTTCTTATCTCAAAATAATGTATGTGGATCTGCTGTGTTTAAGTAATTGTGCTTATCAATGTGCAAATAAGTTGAAACAAATCACCTACTTTATTTCGTTCCTAAAGAGCTGCATTTATATTGCGACGATAAGAGTATATTAGCTATTAAAAAAATATCTACATATATTAGGCATTAATTAGCAAATTATTTTATTCTTCGGTTTCGGTAAAATAAAGCCAATGATACTATACCTTTACACAGATTGAATAAAATACTTCCAAATATATGAAAATTGAACTTTTCAATGTGTGCCGTCCCTGTGATGGGACCCCTGCATCCAGAAGCGCGAAGCAACTTGGAAGTTCGAAGAAGCACCATGAAACCACAAAATGAGAAAAGCAGAAAGAAGACAACAGTCGTTCCGATTTCGATACCACACACGGGTGTAACACAAGTGACGCCAGAAAAGCCACTATTCAAAATGGCTGCGATGCCTGAACCGAATGCCCCATGTCGGGGTTATCTGTGCTCAGAAACGTAATTTCTTGATATACGACCACTCGTTCCATGATAACACTACTGAACACCCCAAACGGCTTTGTTTTTAAGGAAACTTAATAATCAAAAATTACTTTAGGAATATTCCATACTTAGGTTTTTAGTTGTTGTTTTTTTATGTGGACTAGATTTTTAGAATGACTATAGATAATTATGTTCAACAATTATTTTATAGCCTAGTTAACCATCTGGGTCACAATACTTATCTATACTAATATTAGGTTGGAGAAAAGGTCTTTTTTCATATAGTATGCATAAACTTGTAATAAAATCTTTTTGGCTATTCCAATTGTATATTGTATCTGGCTGGCTTCAGTATCATAAAAAAATTTTTTTAAAGAAGATAACTCTGAATTCGAATTAGGGAAATGTGTGATTTACATTTGTTTTTCTTACTTTTAAAATTCGAAATATTTTAAAAGTTTATTACAAAAAGGTAATAATGCAACGCAAACCGCGAAAAAAATTTAGACGTTTGAGGACCTAGTTGTAGTTTCAGTGATAGTAGAACAAATAATATTTTTTTTTAAAGAAGATAACTCTGAATTCGAATTAGGGAAATGTGTGATTTACATTAGTTTTTCTTACTTTTAAAATTCGATACATTTTAAAAGTTTATTACAAAAAGGTAATAATGCAACGTAATCCGCGAAAAAAATTTTGACCGTTAAGGACCAAGTTGTAGTTTCAGTGACAGCAGCACAAATTTGGTTTAAGCGTTTTCAGTCCGGAAATCTTGATGTCAAAGATGCACGTCGCTTCGGTCACCCTGTTACAGATAAAATGGACGGCATTTTTGAAAAAGTGGAGCAAGATGGACATATCAGTAGTTGCAACGTATCTGAAGACCTAAACACAAAATAGTTTTGGCACATTTTAAAAAAGTTGGGTATTTGGGTACCTCACGAGGTCACTGAAAGAAAATATTCTTTACAACAGCGTGATGAAACCGAACCATTTTTGAAGAATCTGGTGATGAAAAGTGGGCGTACGACAAAAACGTGCGAAAAAGGTCGTGGTCAAAGGTCGGTCAGGCTTCACAGACTTTGGCGAAACTCGGAACAAGGTGATGCTGTGTGTGTGGTGCGATTGGAAGGGCATAATTCATTATGAGCTGTTATCGCCAGGCAGGACCATTGATTTTGAACTCAACTGCGAACAACTGATGAGATTAAAGTAAGAAGTTGAGAGAAAGCGGCCAGATTCAATCAATAGAAAGGGTGTGGTTTTTCATCATGATCACGCTCACACATCTTTTGTCACTCAGTAAAAATTAAGAGAGTTTGGCTGGTAGGAGTTAATTCATACGCCGTATAGTCCTGACCTTGCACATTCAGATTTTCACCTGTTTTGCTCTCTTCGGAATTCTTAGGTTAACACGATCACGCGATAATTATTTTTTATAATAACGCGATCTTAGGATCACGCAAGGACTGCCAAAACCACTTGTCGCGGTTTTTTGGTCTGAAGGTCCAAAATTTCTATAGTGATGGGATCATGTCCCTATCTAACAAATGGCAAAAAGTTATCGAATAAAATGGTACCCAATGAAGGGCACCTACATACTTTAGTTTGATGTAAATAACTTTTATCAAAAAATGATTTAAATTTTCATATAAAATGCGAAGAAACTTTTCTCCAACGTATTATTATTATTAAGAGGAAATATTTGTTTGTTTGTTTGCATCGAATAGGCTCCGAACTTCTGGACTGATTTTAAAAATTATTTCACCTACGCGTCAACAGCTAGTTCATTAATAGAATACTTTATTGTTTTTGAGAAATATTTTGTTCGGCTGCTTTTACCCACTTAAAATGATAAACATGCACCAGTATCTGTGAATATCTTAAGAAATTTTTACAGCAGCGATAAAATACTTCTCGTATTTTTTTTAAGATTTTTTCTATAAGCTTAAAAAATATTCTGAAAGAAATCTGTACCTTAAGAATGATTATTAAATAATGCCAATATATTATTAAATTACAAATATATTGGCTACTAATATATTTATATAATATACTAGAAAAAATATATTTATTTTTATGAAGATTTATCTAAATTCGAAACATGTCAATCAAACACGTTTTGTATTATATATAAAAATCTGGAATCTCGATACTAAACGTGTTAGATTGACGACATATTCCGAATGTCGATTCGAATATTTCAGAAGTGAGGAAGGATTAAATGGTCGTGGGCCAATCATTGAAATGAAATCGTTATATTGTAATTTGCAATTATACTATATACCTAACCTACCTGTGTAACTTATTATTTTTCGATCTAGTAACAAGAACTACATTTGTAAAAACATGTTGTTATTGAAATGCCATTGATTCGTCGATATCGTTAAGCGGTTCACAGAAGAGGTACGTCTACCAAGTTTCAACTGATAGTTTCCGAAGTGGAAGAAATACCAGGCCAACCGAAGTCACACGTGACGAATCTATATACTAGATCTAATTTGGTAGGAATTTTACTTAGTTGTTAGGCTCTGAGTCATCGTAAGACATCGTAAATATAAGTATGTATTTAGGTATACCGTGGCGACAAACTGGGGAGGCGAGAAGTGTGGAAGTAACTCACGAGACGGCAATCATATTTAGAATACTATATTTCCTTATATTATGCTAATATTGAAAAAAAAGCGAAACAAAAAAATAACTATCAACTTAATGCAATATAAACCGTGCGCCTTGTAAATTGAATGTGGGTAACATATGTATATTTTTTTGGTCGCCACAAGCCAAGCTTTGCTTAGTGGAATAGTGAAATAGTTAATGGAAAATAAAGTTATTATTATTATTTTATACAGTTAAATACAACCATAGATTTATTACATACAACTGATATGGCTCAATGATGTACCATGTTTTTGCTCAATCAGGATGATTCAAATATCACGCCATCGAGCGATCTACCAATATCAAACAGCTTGATCCCCCCCACTGAGTGCGACTGAGATGAATTATTTTTTAAATGTCCATGTTTTACACCTTATGGTTTATAAAATAAGTCTCACTTTATATTTAATTTATACTTTCGGTCGCGGCGGAACATATCTGCTTTCCGTAAAGTAAGATTCCCCATAAACTACATTAATTGATACTTACTGTATCATATTAACATTTTCAAAGGAGCTATTCTTACGCCAAAGCATTATTAAGCGAACTATACATAGTGGATAGTTTTGTTACAAGCTGCCTGATTTACGCTTTCATGGGAGAAAACTTAGGTATGGTTTTTTAAGATATCTTAAAAAACCTACCTTTTTAATATCGTAATCACACACGTTAAAGATAACGATTATATAAATGCCAAATTATTTCGTATGTTAAGAACTATCTTAACCTACGAAATATATATTTCGGTATCGCATGACATCTTAAGATACTTCATATGACATTATCTAAGACGTGTGTGTTAGGTCATTTAAGTGTATGGCGAGCGATATTTTATCCTAAGATATTATTATTAATATCATCTCAATAACGGCGTGTTACAACCAAATGGCACTAAAATAGGGATATTTAGCTTAAAATAATAAGTGGAAAATAAAAACAACAATTAATTTTATCATTTCAATATATTCAAATCTGTACTCTTAAAATCTATACATAATCGAAATCGATGTTATAAATTCATCAGAACACAATTCATAAATTAAACGGAATAAAATAGGTTTTCGATTTAGAAAAATATCACATATCCATACTGAGAAAAAAGTTAAAACAATTGATGCAAGTAAAACATATTGATTGTTGTATTTTGTGCTAGAATAAAAGGATAAATGTTTCTACTTCAATTACGTATGTTTACACGTACCCGTATTTTAAATTAAAATTAAATAAACGGTGGACTTTATGCAAAATATTAATTTTAAATTTCATATTAAGTACAAATATCAAAGAATATGAATTTAGCAAAATTGGAATTATCGCATTACGAAAAAAATAACCATTTACAGCGCAGAAAATATTGTGTAACAGAATATTCATTTTTTTTAATGTACCATGGAGCTGCTGAGACCATCATCAGAACACTAAAATCATAATAAATGCTGCACTCTAAAAACAAATGTACATTCTAATATACGTAATGTTACGATTATACATGCAAATAAAAACGGTAACGTTCAATTGTGGCACTAATTTGTACATAGTTGTGTATCCGACACGTACTCAGTGAAGAGTATTCTCGCATTTGGTGTGTGTTACACTTATAAAAAAAGTTATGCTAAAATAAATAGATGTAGTGAGATATATATAAATGACGAAGAATGATCATGGTCGCCTGTGCCGAGTATCGTGCAGTGATAATACTGATCGGTCCAGGCAGCACCCGTCAACAGTCCACATTTATTACCTGAAATCACAATCATAAATATACATCATATCATCATAACCACTTTATTGGGGCCCTCTTGCACCTCCGCTTACGTTCCCATACAAATACACACAGTAAAGACGCTCGATTACATACAATTTTAATCATAGAAAAAAAAAAATCTTTTGATATTTTAAAATTATCTCAAAACCTATTTTTGTATATATTTTTATGTAGTTAAGATAAAATATATTAGTCGTAATATCGACCCAAGAAATCTATTTAGAATTTTTGGGTCAATCAATTTTATTCGCTTTGTATTAGTGAAAAAGTATCAAGTGCTTGAAAAGGTTTGAGTCCCATCTCAGAGTGCCGGGGACAAAGTGGAATTTTTTAAGTATTTTTCATTAATAATATTTGTCAGTATATCATTGTGTATGCAAAATTTATGAAATTTAATAAATCTATTTAGAGTCATCTTTACGATTTTTTCTATCGAACCGATTATATTTGTTTTACAAACAATTGACAGTTTGTTTTTTCAAATTAAAAAATAATAATTTGGCAAATATTAGCATAAACTTAGAATAAAAATGGTTCTAAAACTGCTAAATACGTAAAAACTCGCCTTCATGGCTTTCATGGCAAAAATTTGGTTCATAAAGAAACAAGATGATATCACATATTCTGTACGGTGTACCGCACATTATGTGCTGTTCGCAGCGCCTTTATGGTTGCCGCGGATTTGTATTATGACGAGTAAGCATTTATGTATACTCGTCGCGTTTGGCGTAAAAATAAATCAGTTCGAATATTGTAACCATTCGACTCGGTTGTGTCATTTTCATCTCCTTATACTATTTCCTCAGAACATCCTCCTTATTCTACCAGCTATCAATCCTATAAATTATCATTGTTATCAGTTATCAATTAAATGTGTAAGGCTACCCCCTACACATTCATAATCGTCATTATCATCAGCCCTGTTACGTCCCTACTGCAGTGGCTCAGACCTTATGGCTAGTTAAGCTCGTTATGGCACGTTGGCCCCATTTGGATTGGATGTTATTAACGACTGCAAATGCGATCGGGGCAACGGCTTAATGCGCCTACCGAGGCTTGGAATAGATAATAAATTTTCGGTCACCCATCCCGCGACCGACTTTCGCGAAAGTTGCTTAACAATAATTTCCCGGGCGGCGGTGCTTATCCACCACGCCGCCGAGCTACTATCACATATTGATTTAGTGTAATTACCTAACATTCGCGGCGGCTCAGTAGGTTCTGATTACTGGTGGTACAGTCTTGCACTCGTTAGTGTCGAGTGTGCCGTCGATGACCGGCCTATACGTCAGCTTCGTGGCACCAGTCTCGCAGTCCGTCGCAGCCATTGTGTGCTTCCTCCAATGTTTCTCGAATGGTAGTTTAGTCTGGAAACATGACGCATAATTAACTTCAAAGTACACGTAAAACTGTGTTGTTATCTCTTTGTCTGTATAAATAAAACGAATCGCCAAAATGTATGTATGCGTATGAAATTCAGAACGACGGTACCAAATCAGATATTTTTTTGTTGTCTGTTGTTATAGAGACAAGGATTGTATAAAACAATTTAAATAAAAATTGTACAGAAAAAGGTAAATATTTTTCATAATTTTAAATCGCAATATAAACATGCATTGTTTGCGCCGTTATTATGATTAAAATAGAGGCTATTTTAAGTTTTAATAAACTCCCATAGAACAATTTAAAATGCAAAATCATACTTTTTGGTGTATAGTCCAGGGCGGGCAAATACATTTTGCATTCTATACGCTATAATTTGTTGTTGTCAACCCTATGAACCCATATATTTTTCTGAAGAGCCTTTCTGATAATTGATATTAAGTGATAATTTAATCGAAATATGTAGTCATTGAAACTGTAAACTCGTGTAACAATTCTATCATACATTTTCATTTAAATCCACATCGATACTTAACTGCCAAATTATTACCTATCATAATTTAGAATACAATGTAATTTAGTCATTGTTTTATCGCATTTCAAATTATACCAATTAACATTGGTCATATTTAGTATCGATATCAATAACCTATATAAATAATAATCATGTCATACGCATGTCTACTTGGCTTTGTATGTACTTTACTTAAGATAATGTAAGAAGCACATTTGATGCACTGTTTGCCGTTGAAATGAAATGTTGAGTAGAATTTAACCTATGATCGTGAAGCGAATTTGCACCCGTCCAACAAAACGTTTGTTTGTTTCTCAAACTAGGAATATTTAGTAGGAAACACTAAATAGATATTAATGGGTTCTATTTACAAGAGCAGATGTGCAAAGACATCTACAGTAGAGGATCTTCTAGTTTCACAGTGGTATATTTTAAAAGATATTTATTATGGTAGCTTTTGTCATTTATGTTTCAATGCGCTTTTAAAAGCTCTTTTACTGCATACTAAAACAGTTTTTGTTACAATAAAGTTGACTTCTTAATACTCATTGCATTTATAATAGCATGCTTTATAAAGTAAATTGTAATACAAAACGCAAGCATACAAAGAAACAAAACTTCTGAAATGCTGTTTTGGCCCTTTTGGGTTATGATTTTGGCCGGTATGTATATATCCTCATAACTGGACTATTTGTCCAGTTATGAGGATGGTGTCATCAGAATAGTTATTTACATAAAAAAGTAAATTTTGCTGTGAGCAAAAAATAACAATTTTAACGTCGACGACCGAAGTCTAAGAAGCAAGGAACCTGATCATCAAAATAGCGACTTGCCGCTTCGTCTGTGTCCTTAAGTTTGATAGACCTTAGTATGAGTGGAAGGAATTTGTCCATATTTTTTATAGATGGCTTTCGAAGGAACACGGTTTTAAATGTATTACCTTAACATAAAGAGCATTATTTGTACCACGAAACGGTTCCCTAGGAACCACACATGCGAAGCCGCTGATAGAAAGCTAGTATATAAATAAAATGTTCACCTGTCCGTCCAAGGGTTTGGAGTAGTCGTATTCGTCGCGGCGCGTCTTGAAGTCTTCCCTGGCGTGAGCTCCACGGGATTCCTCCCTCGCTAGAGCGCCTTCTACGATCTGCACCGAGTTCAGCAACAAATTCTGCAGCTCGAGCGTCTCCACCAAGTCACTGTTCCAGATCAACGAGCGGTCCGACACGCGCACGTCCTTGAACTGACCGTAGATTTCGTGGATCTGGGTTTGTGCTATAGGTAAAGAAGACAAAAACCTGATTTTCCATTTTTTGGAGAATGAAATAATTTTTCAATAATACAAGTTAGACGACCGCTAGTAACAATGTCTAACCAGTATGAAGCCACACAATTTTTTAAAATTTTCCCACTAGTTTCGGAGCCTATTCGATGCAAAAATACAAACAAACAATCAAATCTTTCCTATTTATAATATTAGTATATAGATTATGAAGAGAATAAATTTGGTTGCATGTTGGTTTGCAGCGAAAGGACTCAGAAATAACTGGACCGATTATTAAATTTCATTCACCTACAGGAAGATACTTCATACGCGGACGACGTATGCTATAATTAACAAGACCATATTCGTGGGAAATCAGTCAGTAATTAATAAAATTAAATGGTTTTCATATAAACCTTCTTCCAACGTGTTCTTCTGTCTGAAGACAGCGGCATTCTTCTGCATGCATTTCTGCATGCGCAAGCGCAGGTCTGCCGTTGGTACCGGGCCGTTTGCGTACCGAATACGGTCTAGATTGGCGATGCTCTGCTCACCTGTCGACTGTAAATTTTTTTTTTTTACTTATTCTCGGAATTTATATACCGATAAAATAGTGATTAACAGGACCCCCGATGATATGACGCATCGATCGAAGATTATCAGAAATAATCACAAAATAAAAATTGAATATAACTGAATTTACGCGCAAGTCGCAGAAATCGATTGAAAAAGTTTGATGTGGTCCTTTAAGTACCTCATTTGTTCATAAGTTTTGAGAAAAGTTGCAAAACTTTTTTAATAACCAACTTATAATTCTTAAATTTTCAGTAACTATTAAATAGATAATAATAAACAACAAATATATATATATTATATTCAAAATGACCGCTATCTAGGAATAGCGTTGGAAACGTGGGTCTTTAAAAGGTCACAAGGGTCAATGTACTGTTTTATTAAAATATAAGTATTCAAGATTCTTACTGAAAATCCCTTTTGTTTAACCCACATATGACGTCGTTTTTTCAATTGGGTACATTATTCTATATTTATATAAAAATTATTTTTTTTGGGAATAAGCCGCCCAAAATTATTAGTTTAAAATCCTTTTTAGAAAGTAGACTGATCCCCAATTATACTTACTTTTCTATAGGGAAGTAATGATATGTATATATAATAATAAGTAATAATCATTTTGTAGCCGAGAGCTTAAAGGAGCGCTTTTACAATAATCGTTTTAATTTACGAACAATTCATTAAAAATATAGATTTGTTCCCCTTTTTCTTTTGTCTTAAATCGCAACCTTAACCCGAATAAAAGCTAAACCCTTGTGGGCAAAAAGCATGATTATAAGTATACCTATCTGCACAAGTGGTTAAATAACTGGATGATACTTTAATCTAATATCTAGTGAAAGCATGACGTCTTTAGATTCTCTATCTAAGGTCAACTAACAACATAAGACGTGGGTCACTAGTTTAATATAATTACACACAAACAGGCTTGCTCTTGTTTTGTCTGGTGATTGATTACGTGACGTATATTATCGTAATGTCAAGACAGCATCCGTGTATTTAGGTGATCAACGAGACATAATGTCACACTGTAGATATTAAATACCTATTTATGTCACGCCACGAATATTATAACCATGCTCATTGCTCACAGATAATATCAACATTATTTATGATGTGATAAAAAAATATGAATATATATTCATTGTTCTGAATGATTATAAATAAAACATGTATAAATTACAAGTGCTCTTTATATTGTTGGCTGACCATATATCATAAGATTAATTGAGGCTCAAAAAATAAAACATTGATTTCAAGAGTACATTCGTTAGTGAAAGTTTTCATATCACAACCGAAAAACTTACATTGGGCAAACACTTTTGAAGTTACGTTAAATACCGCTTTTTCTATACATTCGTCCTCGCCGAAGGGTTATCATATTTTATTATTTATGGTATATTTTAATTCTATGCAAGATATTCGGAATTGAACGTAAAAAAAACAGTCACGGCAATGTGATGCGCACAATAATGTAATAACTAAACACGCGCTTGATAAAATGTATCACGCACCTTTTAGGGCATCGTCCTTCCCTTGCCGCCCCTCAAGGGCCAGTCAGAGGGCAGAGACATATTCACTATATCACTATGATACTATAAACTCATCGATGTCCCTCTTTACTGGGCATGCATAGGCAATGCGCGAAAATAGCCCAAAGAACAGGATCTCTTCGCACCATTCGCCTCATGGATTGGATGCCTCTGGGTATTGGGGACGCTTAATAGGGATGAGGACTATTTTTTTTTATCTGTCTGTCAGGTAGACTATTGAAGAGTATCAAACACGTATTTTTTTATTTTTTGCGTAATCAATTAATTATGAGTATACATCTAGTTGAAATGTCGCACGACGTCACGCTTTTGTACAGTTCCTTACTTATTATCTAAGCCATTTCTTGTTTAAAATTGAAGCAATAAAAAAAATACATATCTTATATTTTTCTATTATCCTACTGACAGACTAAATAGAATTTCTTTTTTTTTTACCCAATCGTCATCCGTATGAATGTGCCCCAAAATGGTAAATTGGTTGTTGTACCGAGCCCGAGCCGGTAGCTCGGGCTCCATTACCATTACTAAGTATAGATATTTCTGCCGGTCAACAACAAAAACTACATAGTTTGTGTTACTAATCTCAGTTAGGTTGCATACTTACGTCTTTGAGCGGCGCTTGCGTGTCTCCTGGCTTAGCGATGTCTTTGATAGTGAGTGCGCATGCGCGACCAAATACTACGATGTCCAACAAAGAGTTGGCGCCCAATCTGTTAGCGCCGTGCACTGAGGCACAAGATGCCTCGCCGGCAGCGAATAAACCGGGTACCACTTTGTCTTGTCCGTCGACGTACGTGATAACCTGGGTGAAACGTTATTTTTAACGCAAATTTAATAGGCAATATTACACGAAGCTCGGAAATGAATGATTCCTTTCCTTCTTATATTCAAATGCAGCAATGATAAAATTATAATTGGATAAAAATACACTCTTTCTAATAGGCTAGTTGACAACTTTTTATTTTATTTTATCTGAGAAATAATTTAGAAGAAACAGAATTTCTGCGATTAATAGTTTCGGAGATACGGTGCTATGTTTGTGGATCTGCTGCTAGTCGGACGAAAACGGTCTCTAGAAACTCAAGGCCCTAAGTGACATCACAAAGTGATACGTTAGCGAGAAACGTATGGGCGTCTGGGCAATCTTTGTTATTTGTGCGTATAAGTTTATGGCTGTTATAATGAAAGTTGTAAATTTTATGTAACTAATTTAATACCATATGTATTTTAATATGCAAATCTTTGTAATTAATTTTACCCAATCGTCATCCGTATGAACCATATGCAAATCTTTGTAATTAATTTTCCCTACTTTTTAAGTTTTCATATCGTAATATTTTCTATACTAAAATGGTAAAAAATTTCCGAGCAAATAACAGAAACCTATATTTTCATTTGTAGGAAACTTGCCTATTATAAATTTAAAAAACATGAAATTTTTACTATGGTCGTTATGAATTTACTCTTTGTTAATGACTTTGTTATTCTGTAAATGACGTTTATAAAAAACTGTGCTAGTGTTGCAGTCTGGCGACAGAAAGTTGCAGTAATGTTTACGTCTTATTTGATAGAATCGATTCATTTAACCATGTCGATTTAGTAAAAACTATGCTCGAATTCTTAGGTGAATTTCATTATATATTTGAATATTTCTATATTCGAGTAGATTACGATATCATCAACATAAATTTTCAATACAGTCAAGGCAAATTATCATGATTTAATGAACAATAAAACTTCCTCTATATCTTCATAAAATATAAAGACACATGATGTCAGTGCTAGAGTAATTTTGTGTATTTGCATGCTACGCTTTCATAGCCACAGTTAGTGATGTACCGTGCATTTTGGACAATATTTCCGGATGTACATCATTAGCCAGAGTCCTGCCGAGCCGGTTGTTATGACATTTGATATTATAATAATATAATGGCAATTCTCAACAACCAGTCCAGAGTAAAGTCAGACAGTAAACGTATTGCAAGAATTGCAAGTAAGTATTGCAAGAATCCCCCCCTCACCCTGTACACTCTGACGTCATTTTTACCTCGCCACGGAAGTTGGTGGGTGTGCCGCCCATGTTGTAGTGAACGGTTGGCAGTACTGGGATAGGTTCTTTAGTAACGTCAACGCCAGCGAATATCATAGCGGTCTCCGAGATGCCCGGCAGACGTTGCTTCAGTTGTTCCGGGGGCAAGTGGTGGAGCTGCAGGTATACGTGGTCTTTGTCCGGGCCACATCCACGACCTGTACAATATCGAGATTTGCATACCGTTGATATATTTGCTACTGTCTTTTACATTATTTAATTTTTCAATGGCAGGTTCGATTCAAAGTTGATCGCATATATCTAATACAAGTAAGTTATTTAACTATTATTATAATAGGTGGTCAGATAACAATCATATAAAAAATTAAATTGTGTTTGGTTAAAAAGTTCATAACGTTTAAAGATTATTTGTAGAAAATTTTGTTTAATAATTATGATTTCTATTTATAAATTATTATAAACATAAAAAATATAGAGCGCATGACGTCATTGTGGGTAAACTGGTAGTAAATTATCTAGGAAAAGCGCGGGAAACATTCAAAGTGTAAAATAATTTTAACGATTTACTGAGACATACTGAATCATAAACCAGGGTTATTTCGTATATAATTTTATTTCGTTATCGATCCTTAGAGAGCATTGTTAATTTTTTTTTACTTCTAATATTCTACTCTATGCATCTGTTTTGTGTACATATCAGAATGACGTCATCAATATGACGGACAGCGTATTCGCGGGTCCAAAAAAAGTTTAAAATTTGATTTAATTTTAAGGTAAGAAAACGTGTTTATTTTTCCGAAATATTTGTGTTATGGCTCTTTTAAAACAAAATAAACAGTTACAAGTATTATTTCAAAATTAAAATTCTTTATTATCTTAAAACTCATTATTTGAAACAATTGCTTAACATTAGCAATCGGAGGGTAACACTCGTGTCTATAGTCGAGAGAAGTAATACTTGAGAAAATGTCATAACTTAAGCAAATATTTTTATCCAATAGACGAAAATTTGAATGAAGCAATAATTGCCAATGCTTATAATAATAGTATTCTAACTTTTGAGAATTCTTACTTCATTCAAATTCTTATTTGTTAAAAATATTAGCTTAAATTATGGCATTTTCTCAAGTAACTACTTCTCTCGACTATAGTCACTGGTGTGAGTTAAATAGTGCATCATAAAGCTATTATTTATGTAATATTATCGTATTCCAAACGGTTTAAAAGACGACACGGCGTAAGAATGTTTTCTATATATATTTTATACCAATAACCCCAATTAAACACCAGTGGACCAAGGTTTGGATAGCCTAGTTCCAAGCAATTATGAATCTGTGTAAATTTGATATGTTTTTAATTATAGTAAATAAAATTATTATAAAAAACATGTATTACTCTGAATATATTTGTTGAAAATCATTTTCATCTTGCTCCTAAGATATTTCTAAAAATATATAATGATAACAAAGACCTTGTGAACACATTAGCATACTACAACACGCTTTTAAGGTTGTTTTATTATCAACACAAATCATTATTTATTTCTGTGGGAATGTTTACGTAACTGAAAAACATATATGAAGTAGGTTAAGATTATCTGTTTATTAAAATTTGATAAATCGATTATTAACTATCTATTGGAACTTTTTTATTTGCTGCTCGTTGCTGCGACTTTGGCTGCGTAAATTATAGCCTATGTCAGCAGCGTATGACGTAGCTCTCTAAATGAAAGAATTAAAAAAATTGGTCCTGTTTCGGAACTTATTCAACACAAAAAAAATAAACAGTCAAATATTTCCCCCTTATAATACAAGTATAATACTAAATTCATGAATAAAAAGAACATTACCTTCCATAATTTCCACGGTCATGGCTCTAGAGACTACGTCACGACTAGCGAGATCCTTCGCGACCGGAGCGTACCGTTCCATGAATCGCTCGCCTTTCGCATTCACTAGGAACCCGCCCTCTCCACGACAACCCTCAGTCATCAAGCACCCTGCGCCGTATATACCTATAATAATAATATACTTTATTGCACTCAATATAACACAGGTTACAGGAAAATTACAATAAGAAAAAGAACACAAATGGCAGCTTTATTGCTTTGCAACAATCTCTTACAGGCAACCACTGGTGAGAAAAAGATTATTAATTTAATTATTATTATGGTTGCTATCTTTTAAAATAAAGAATGCCTGGCTCTGTGCTATTTAAGACCAATATTTTGTTCTAAAAGCTGGACTTTACCTTCTACAATAGCCAAATACACCCTTGCAAAGCCAGACATATTTTAATGTCTTTTAACAAAAAAATCTGTTACGAGTATAGTGCTTTATTAATGTCATTAAAAGAAACCAAAAATGTCCAACTAAATATTTATATGTCTGACCTGAACAATTTTTGATAGTCTTTTTTGATACTCGTAGCAACAACCCTGTATTCCTGAATCAACAAGTCAATTAATCTAAAAAAGAGCTTCTGTCACAAAATTTTGTAGTAACTGATGGATGACTTAAATTTGTTTTACAATATTAGTAGGTAGAAAGATAGTCAAATCAATATGTTACCAGTAGGATGGAATTGTACAAACTCCATGTCTTCGTTCTGCAGACCAGCGCGCGCAGCCATAGCAGTGCCATCGCCAGTGCAGGTGTGGGCAGACGTACAGCTGAAGTACGACCGCCCAGTACCACCCGTCGCCAATATTGTATTCTTAGCTTGGAACCTGGTGTCAACACGGTTGTTAAGCATGGTTTATGTTAACATCTCTCTATTAATATAACCCCTGGGTGCATAGGGAATAATACCTTAACATGCCTTTCGAGGCATGGAGTAGCTTTAGTCATTAAAATTTCACCAGACTTAAAAACTGATTTACTTTCAAATTTGAAAACCAATAACCACTGCCATATCAATGTTTTATTTTGTGATAAATAGCAATGGGTTGCATGCAACACAGCCAAAGACATAATCTGGTAAAATATATTGTTTACTTAAAAAAAATTCTGACCTGTGTAATGTTCCATCTTCAAGATTAAGTGCAATGCATCCTTTACAGACACCATCTTCCATCAATAGATCTAGTGCGAAGTATTCAATGAAATATTCACAATCGTATCTCAGCGACTGTCCATACAGGGTGTGCAGGAGTGAGTGGCCAGTTCTGTTAAAAAGAATTACAAACATTGTATACTCACATTGCATTCAATTATATTAAATAGAGTAAACATATTAATTTGAAACCATTACCTGTCAGCCACAGCACAACATCTATGAGCTTGTCCACCTTTTCCAAACTTCAATGACTGCCCACCAAATGCTCTCTGATATATTTTGCCCTCAGGAGTACGCGAGAATGGCACTCCATAGTTGTCAAGTTCAATAACGGCATGTGGTGCTTCCCTCGTCATGTAATGTATGGCATCCTAATAAGCAATTTTGGATTTATTATTAAAAAATTATCCCAGCCATTGTTTTTAATATCAATATGTGAATAATGTTATTACATTCATTTAAAATGTTTCATATAGCATCACAAACAAACCTGCTTTTTAATAATTATGTACTGAATGAAATAAATAAACTACTTCGAAAATGTTTAATTTAATGATCATATGTGAAATAAGGCAGAGTATATATATCGAAAATCAAAACATCCACCAAAGAGGTAAATCAGTGCTGATGTACAGTTTTTAGGAATCAAATATTATCTTATTTAATTATAATTATTAGAAAGAAAATAGGGCTTTTTTTTCAATAATCTATTGTCTATTGTAATGTACTCTTAATTAACTAAAGAGAGTATACAATGATCAACTTAATGTGACTTTGCTGCTATTCATACTAAATAATTACCATTTAACTAGCCACTGGTACCACAATTTATGTCAATGTAAATGTCCACTTAGGCATATTATTACTAGACGACAATTAAATACCAATTAATGTCCCATTTCAGGTACCAACAGGTTACATATAATATTGATGATAAAAGACTGTCACATTAAATGGTCATGTTTGAAAATTATGATTCTAATAATAGAATCTTAAATTTCCTTATTTATATATGCTCTATATGTCTTTACACTTAATTATCTTAGCCAGCTAGAAATATTTCTCGAGTGCTAAGACTGCCTTTGTGCCACTTTTGTATTATTACTTTTTATGTTCCTTTAAAGTTGATCTCACATCTATCAGAATGGTGCCAAAGGCAAAAACTTATTAATTCTATGTATACAAACACCTTCCATAACCTATATGTACAATCTCTATTATCAAATTTTTAGGGCATCTATCATTGCATGGTGTAAATTTGATTCATTTGCCTCATTCAGTTCTGATGGATATGCAAAGAGATTATTGTATTCTGTTATAAACAAACCTGATCTCCCAGCCAATCAGATCCCTTTACAGTGTCATACATATGCCACAACCAATTGTCTTCTTCCATATTGCCTAAAAGATCATAAACACAATTTTATATTAGAAAATTTGCTATCAATCTATGTAATTTTATATGTAATAACATAATTTTCACACATTTCCCAAAGCCTGCCTTGTAGTAAAACATAATTTCAAAGTGTTTTAATACCTAAAGCAGCATTGATGCCTCCTTGGGCAGCAACAGTGTGAGATCTAGTGGGAAACAATTTGGTGACAACAGCAGTTCTGAAACCTTCTTGCACAAGACCAAATGCAGCACGGAGTCCTGCCCCACCAGCCCCAATTACCAATGCATCATGTTTATGGTCAATTACTGTGTATGCTTTAGAAGTGTTTGTATTTGATGAAGCATTTCTCTGTACAATTGCAGGGGACAGAGCTCGCAGATTTCGATAGACATGTGTTGCCTGAAAGGCAATAAAATACTTATATAATATAAATTAAAAGTACATCAATGATTCTCACAACTACTTATAAATTTTATTTACGTGACTAATTTAAATGAGCACTTGTTCTGGGGTGGAGAATTCACACTCCATTAATATTTTTACAAATAAAGGCATCATTTGTAAAAATACCCTTGAATGTGAAAACATTTTGAAAGATCTTTGTAGCTGATCAGTGAATGCATTATTGTCGTTATTTTATACGACTACATGAGTAAGTACATATTAACAAAGTTATAATCGATTAATAAATAAAATATTCCAGTGATTGATGAAAACATATTACATAACTTATTTGAACTAAATTCGTTGTTTCAGTTTAAGCTTACCAACGATGCTGGATTACGAGATAACGCTGCCTTCATTATTGCACTCATGATGGAACTCACTATCCGCACCTAGAGTACAATATTTTATTTAATAATTTCGTAAATTCACATTCAACTTCTTACAAATAATACGATTTGTTAGATACTGCCAGTTACTTCTGTCACAATAATGTCAACGAAAGTGACGTTAGTTATTTGTAATTAAAGCAAAGGTACATTTATTTTATTACCTATAGGCATAAACAAAATACTTTTAAAAATTTGTTGTATTGTAATTGTATTACTTTAATTATTAAATATATTTTGCTCAAAGAAACTCCTGCTTACATAGGTCACTAGGCGGAATTGGACATTAATGAGAATGGTACCAAATAATAAGTCAATTTAATATTTCATTCAAAACCAAGTGAAAAAGAGATAGTACCCAAAAAGCATTCCTCTAGTTGTCCAGAGGCTTAGCTACCGCCGTATATGTCGTATCAATTAAAAGGGGCCCCCAATGTGCGTAAGAAAAAAATATTAAAAACTTCCCATATTTCTTTTTATTTCAGAAATGACAATGGTCAAAAAAGCTATTTCTTTTTCCCACGTAGAGCGTGCGTTTCAAAATTGGCAACACCCTAAAATCGATTTTGTGGGCTGTGGGATATCTCCGTTGAAGTCAGACCTTAACGGGGGAATCCCATAATAATCGATGTATATATGACTAAAATTCTTACAGTTTATACATTTTTTTTTCTTATGTGAAAAATCTACAGTTTACAGTTTATACATTTTTTTTTCTTATGTGAAAAATCCCCACAAAACTCTTTGATGCGATTTCGTAATTCCAAAACTGTGGAAGAGTGACTGATCAGCAGTGGGCAACTGCCTCGCGATCCGGACACCTGCAACTAAATTTTGCAACTAATTTTATTAGCTTCTTGATGCCCAATGAGGACATGCCAGACGTTATCGTTGCATTTGTGATGCTCGGCTAGGATTTTATGACTCTGGTCACTCGAGCCAACCACACGAGGCAGTCACCTACGTTCGAGTTATATTCTTTTTGGAGTCATTCAAGTAAACAATGGGGAAGTATTAAAAAAAAACATTAGTTCCTGAAATCAAACTAGATGTCGCTACGGTACATTCTTGATTTCTTCATGACAACCTTTCCGGTTTTCTTTCAAGTTTAAAAGTAAAATAATTTTCAAAACACAATAAACAACTCATATCCTATGCACTTTTTCGTATTTGTATCGACATCTATTGTATTGTATTGTTTCGAGTTGCGAATTATCTTGGGCTTATGCAGCCCAGTATCAATGCGACCATTGCTGATCTATTGTGATCTCCACATACTACAGTTCACGGTCAAGATTACATTCTACCAGAAAATGTAGTATTTTCTTGGCCGTAAGTTCTTGAATATCGTCTGGGTACATCACGTGCTTTCCCAGATAGATACATCGTTTTCGCATTAGTGACGGGCAATCAGTCAAAATGTGTTGCTTTTTCCTCCTTGCATCCTCTGCACACTTTATTGTCGCTGATCCCCATGTTGTACATGTATCTGTTCAGTCCACAATGCCCTGTGAGTGCTCGTATTAGTGTGCTAAGGTGATTTTTGGTTAAGTTTAAGGCCTCTGATGCCGCCTTTTTGTTGAAGGTTTTAATCAGGGTCTTAGAGTATTTCATACCGGGAGTGTTTCTCCATAGTTGAATAATGGCAGTACGTTTTCAAGGTTAGCTGGGTTATGCTTTGAGGGATGCCACAGAAAGGTTCTGGTCCTATAAGGGCGTCTTTAGCACCCTTTTTCGCCAATTTGTCCGCCTGTTCAATGCCCTCGTGTCCAGCGTGACCCGGAACCCATCGTAGAACTACTTTGTTGTTGTTGCACAATGAGTTCAATGTCTGTTTGCAGTTCTCGGCCAGCTTCGATCTATTTACGTCGGAGGCTAGTGCTAAGAGTGCAGCTTGACTATAAGAGTAAATATAGATAGTATGATTGAGGTAGTTGTTTTGCAGATTGGCTGCCGCACATTCCAAAATGGCGTACATCTCCGCCTGGAATATTGAGGAGTACTTTCCCATGTTCAGACTTATTACCTTCCTTGGGGCTTCTCCATAAATTCCACATCCCACCTCAGGGCCGGATTTGGAGCCGTCAGTGTACTACTTTAAGCTTCCATTTTTCCATACTATGCGATTGTTTGACGAGTCGTCCCTGGTGGGTATCTCCACAAGATATGACCTGTGTGAATCGACTCTCGGGGGCATATCGATATCTAAGTTTTGAACTTTTAAAATTTCAGTTTTTTAATATGTTAGTTAAAAGGAACGGAAATTACTGTCTTTGGTCCAATCGTTTCCTGTAAAAATCAATTTTTGCTAGAGTCGCCATCCAGTGGAGGTGCTTTTTCAGTGCTTTCGTTTTTTTTAAATACTTCCTCATTAGTAATTGATATTAGCAAAGCTTCGTCATACGACAGGGACATATATACACCAGAGTTTTTTAATTTTACCTCAGTAAATGACCGGCCAAGTAACTTATACAAATACTTACTTCACGATACTACTTGGTACTCGATGCTAAAGTAACGATACTTACTTGGTATTGGAAGAAAAGTATCGAGTAAGTACTTGTATTTACTCGTATCGTATTACTTCCCTTGACTTCCCTATAGATGTCACATTGTGAAACAACTATTGTCATACTATTTTCTGATATTTTGCATGGAATTTAATATCTAACACAGACTAGTAAGGAGATACTACGTTTTAAATTAATGAGAGTATATTTTGATTGCAATATGAGCATGAGTGTTTTAGTTGGAAGTAGATATAACTAGGTGCTATTCCATTTGTAGTTTACGTATTGTCGAAAATAATGGCAGATAATTCTAATTGTATTGATGTTCAGTCTGAAGCTGACAGGCTGAGAGGTAAGCAAGAAATACGATATATTACAATGTTTTATTTAGGCTTCTATATTCATCGTAAAAAATTCATTATCATATTCATGTTATCACGGCTGGGGCACAGGCCTTTCATTGAAATTTAAATCTAATAGGGAGAATACACACAAACAACAAAATTATGAAATATAAAGACAACTAAGCTGTATATCTTTTAAAGTATTGTTTACTGTATTCTAGAAGATGAATTGGCGAGAGAATTGGATCACAGTGACTCGAATGAAGACGACTCACAAGAGATATCTTTAGAGATAGAAGAGAAATTGTTAAAAGATGAACCAGAGTGTGAGTATTTAAAATTGCTGCACAAATTATGTATTCACTACCTATTATGAAATGCTTTGTTACGGACTTTAATTTGCCTACTCAATTTGAATTAATTGTGTAGAAGATGAATTACATTCTTTCATTCATATTCTTTTTGTATGATGCAGGGTCCAGAGTGATAATTATCTTGATAGTTATAAAACTCTGCACAAACTCTTTTTGTGCTTTAGGACTTATTATTAAAGGGGAACTATATTTTAAATATTTTAGAAAAATGTTGTTATCATATAATAGGTTAAAATCTAAAATAAAAAGACACACTGTTACCAGTCACGTGACAACAAGTATAAATAAAATTGTGTTTACCGATAATCAATAAACACTACCAGAAAAAAATATGTATTTATTTTCATTAAGTTTCTACACCTTTATTTTGGATGCCTTTCTGTATTTTAAAAATTTTTGCCAGTAACTACAGATATTAATTGGATAATTATCCGATACTTTTACAAAAAAATAATTATCTTGATAATTATGAACCCTGGTACAATGTGTTGAAGATTTGGTCCATGTATGCTCTTCAATTCATTCTTCAATTAATATTTTTTACAATATTTCTCTTAGATACAACCTTGATGAATTATGGTGAAAGTGTGCAGACATCCAATAATATAGAAAGTGAAATTGTGGAAACCTATTCAGACAGCTCTCAGAATATAGAAACTGTTCATCGAGCTGATGAACTGGGAAATGTCTATACTGATAACTCTGATACATTTGTTGGTTCACAAACTGATCCAATCACAGATCAATATGAATTTGACAACTACTCTTTTGATAATGCTCATATAATTAATAGTGAATCTGAAACTGAGCCATACATTGATAAAATAGATACAAATAATGAGGTTAAAGACAATATAGTAATACCAGATATGAATGATTTCCAACAAAATGAGTCTTTAAATAATTATGAATCTCAAACAGCAGAAGAATTGCTAATGAGTGAAAAGGAGAGAGAGAAGAAAAGTAAAAAAGAATTAGAAGAAGAAGAGCGAGAAAAAATGCAGTATGTAAATATGTTTTTTAGTTAATACCTTTGGATTCCAATATCAAAAGTTTCAATCTATTAAAAAGATTATTGATAGCAATATATCATACTAATGATGTCCAAAAATTAATTCACACATATTTTTGGTACATTAACCAAACTATAGGTTCTTACAAAATATTTTCACAACAGCAATGAATCCTTAATTCTTATCCTATTAATATTATAAATGTGAAAGTTTCTTTGTTTGAATGTTTGTCTGTCAATCATGCTGAAGCTACTGAACGAATGTTGATGAAACTTGGTATATAATTAGGCTTTTATATGACTCAAATAATGGGATACTTTTTATCCCATTAAACATTTCTCTAGGGACGACGCGTGCGAAGCCACTGGCAAAAGCTAGTAAATAAGAAATTTTTAGTTTAAGTAAAAACATTTTTTTTTCTTACAGAGTCCTAGTTTCTAATTTCACAGAAGAGCAGTTAAATAGATATGAAATGTATAGACGTGCTGCATTTCCAAAGGCGGCTGTGAAGCGCCTGATGCAAACTATAACAGGCTGCTCTGTGGGCCAAAATGTTGTAATTGCAATGTCTGGTATTGCAAAAGTTTTTGTAGGAGAAGTTGTGGAAGAAGGTAAGCAGTTTATCTTCTTTCTTTAGTCAGATTTTATATATTAACATTTTTAACTCATGCATCTGTTTTTTCATTTCTAACAACAACCAGTTTACAATAAATATCATTGCTTAATCCAACTGCTTCGAATAGTAATTGTATTGTTAGTTTTGTAGTGAAAATACTTATAGTATTATTTTTTTATGAATACCATGATAAAATTTGTAAATGAAAAAAAGAGAGAAAGCTTAAGAATATAAAATATAACATTCTTAATATAGGTATAAACTTTAATGTGTTAACTTCCAATGAAAATGGTTTATAAATCTGGATTATTATGATTGGTCAACATATTATCCCACTTCTCAAAATGAAGTTTCTACTTATTACCAGGGTTTGCACAAAATACTATCTATATCATGGTCTTTTTGGTATGATCCGTCCAAAAGTACATTGTAACATTGAATTTTGCATTGTTTCACTTATTTTCTAATCAATGCCTGCCTGTTTAAGGCACTGTCTAATTAAAGAGCTCACAATACAGTTAAATAAGTGTTTTAACTCTTTATTATACAATATTAGAGCAGTTGAGCATTAATTTATCTAAAGTAAAAAATAAGTATTTTTTTTTGTAGCTCTGGAAGTACTGGAAAAATCAGGAGAACCTGGACCCTTGCAGCCGAAACATCTCAGAGAAGCATTACGTAGACTAAGAATGAGAGGAGCATTACCACCCAGGAAAGCTTACAGGAGTATGTTTAGGCTCTAGTATTATTAAATATGAAATAAGCTTGTTATAAAGTGTAAATATTAACAATTGTTGCATAGTGTTTAATATAATAGAGTGAGATTGTAAACTGACAAAAATGTAATCCAAAACTTTTTGACACATTATACCTAATCTATTGACACCAAAACATCGAATTGTGAAATGGGATTGGTTGTTTGAAATATTGGAAGTACGTTAGTGTATTTTTTACAATTTTACGGCGATATTTTGTATGCTCCCATTTCATTTTTGTTAAATTACATAATTAAAAAGTGTACATATATATTTATCGGAATACGATATTTAAAATAAGTGATATTTTTAACAAAGAAACGAATTGCTTTCTAAACACTTAATATATTTAATAAAAAAATATAACAAGACTGCTTTACCCATTTATTCCTAAAGGAACACTATCTAAACCCACATGTCATGTAATGGGATCTTAGTATGTATATTGAGAATTTCATAATGAGTACAAAAAACTAAGGTGCTCAAATAAGTTTAAAAATTTCGTGGTATATTCATAAAGTACATTCGACAAAACAATTTCTCCAATCGATTTTAAAAGCCTTAACCTGTTGGATGTTCAAGATTGATGTACTGCTGTGGGTTCAACGTCTTGTACCAGATAAGTGGAATGTTATTCTTAAAATTTTGTCGTACGGTTTAATTTATAATTTCTTATTTCTTAAAGCCCGCGTTCACTTCTTTGTTCAAATACAATTTATAAGCCCTCAAATATCAGACACAAAGTATCAAATACCCTCGTGACGTGCGACACTGTGTGATGCCATGTTTTTAAATTAATGTGTATACGTCTGGCGCCTGGGTAAGAATAGACATCTTTAGTAAAGGAAAATGAAAAGTAAAATAATTTAAAACAACATCTTTAAAAATGTTAATTTATTACATGATAAATTGTTATTTGATTAAAAACAATATGCAACAGTAACTAAGGTTTTATTCATAGTTCGAAAACTTGAAAATAAATCAGTCTTGTTAAAATGGCCAACTACAATGTAGATGCGAGACTAAATGGAATATTGGATAAGATAATATTTCTATAAAATAAAGTTGTAATCTGTTAACAAATGAAAACTTAAAAAAAAACATAACTCACATAAGAAATTAACGAGTCTAAATTGACACTCAATTGTTCAAAAACATCAAAAAGAAAAAAAAATACAATTCGCTTCTAGTTCTGTTGGATATTTCGAAAATATCACAGACAGGCGAATATAAAATAATGTGACTTAGTATTGGTTGGCCTTTACTGTGACGCTAAACAAATTAAAAACTATAAATAAAATACATAATAACAACCGATTTTATTTATCTAATTCATAGAAAGGCACAATAAGTGTGTTTTAAATTTTGGTAACATCCATACAAGGGTAGCTTAAATATTACTATAAAAAGCGACAATTCATACAATCGTATGAGTGCATGCAGTTACTGCATTTGATAAAATAAAACTTATTATTCATTGTTACAAAATTGTACTTCATTTCTGTCATTGGTCTTAATATTTTTATTTTACCAAAAGAAATAGATCTCTTTGTAAATTAAAATTACACATTCACTATGTAAAATATTCAATTAGTGCATAATAACGTATAAGTTATGATAAAATTATTGAGATAAAATCAACATTCTTATGATACATATTTATTTTTGTAGTCATAATTGTCTTTCGATAAATAAAACAAAAAATAAAATAAGTGTCACAGCATTAATTGTTACATATACAATTAGCGGAGTTAAACCGCTTTAAAATATATTAATATTTTTTCGATCGATAGGCAATTAAAAAATATATATTGACACCAATCGTAAAGCGGTATCTCGTCGATATTACATAATATCGGACACGTAAAAGATATAACGTAATTATAAAGTAAGATCTTCATATCGCCGGTCGTGACTGGATACACCGTGCGTCGTCGTGTCGACCTACCCTATATATTCAGTTCAACCTCACGAGCGTCAAAACGAATCTCGATCATGGCATTAACACGTCGGAGTCTAATATCGACGACGTATTGAATTAAATCATCGTAACTAGCAGACTAGATTGTTCCCTCACGTACCTACTAAACTAGAAGTCGTTTGACCCCGCACTCTATGCAAAACTTCGCAGTCTCTACGGGGAATTTACTGCCGCATTCGTGGCAAAAGCGTGAGAGGCGCGGGGCAGAGTCGCGGCGGGTCCGGTGCAGGGACGCTTCCGAACCGCTTGAACTCATGCCGCCGCCGCCGCCGGTACTGCGGTGCCAAGTGGGACTACGGCGTAATGACGCCCGCGAACTAGCGCGTTTGTCTGTCGAAATGATAGATAATATTAATAATTGTAGCTCGGTGCCGTAGTAGATAAGATAAGTTGCCGTTAAGCAACTTTCAGTCGGTCGGTCACGGGATGGGTGACCAAAAAAATTATTATCTCGAGCTACTTTGTGCTTCGGAAGGCACGTTAAGGCGTTGGTCCCGGCTGCATTTGCAGTCGTTAATACCCTCCAATCCGCATTGGGCTAGCGTGGAGGGTCATGGCCCATCCTCCTTAACCATCCATAAGGAAGGCCTGAACCCCTTCAGTGGGGACGTAAAATGGCCGATGATGATTAATAATTAATCCTAAAAAATCTTATAAAAGCAAATGTATAAAGAAATATAGAGAAGAAAGATATGCATGCCCGGTGATGCTTATAATAGGGGTGTTGACAACTTTTTTATATATTTTTATTTTAAAGATACATGAAATATAACTAAAAAAATTCTTAAATGAAAAATTCTTAAAAAATCCACATTGTCCCTGACATTCTGAGCATTTTTCATTAAGAATATTTTTCGGTATAACATTGTCAATGTAAAATTGATCAAATATAATAAAAAAATATCATTCATACAATAAGTAAAAAACTACAAATAAATTTTATTTTCAAAATTTCCCGCGAAAATCTCACTTCTTAAATGGCGTCGCTATGACGTCAAGGCACTCTGCAATGAATATCGTTCTATGTATGCTTACGGTTGAATTCTCTAAGTTTTGATACGAGTAAGAAGGGTGCGACGTCACGCGCTGTTTGCGATCACATGACAACGAGCATAAAATATTAGTTTTTTTTCACAATTAGTTTAAGCAATATTATAGATATAATAATAATCATAAAAGTGTGATTATCGGTAATAGTATATTAAACGCTGCCAGAAAAAAAATATATTTTCGTTTACTGTCTACACCTAAACAAGATTCAATTCGCATAATGCACTTTGCGACAGGCTGATCAAGTTTATCATTTTCGCCTATGACACTTAGATTCATAACAAAATTATGTTATAAAATATAGTTGAAACCGTGTTTTAAGTAAATGCAGATGCAAACTACACCGAAAAATGCCCTTAATTATTATTTAAAAACGAACCCTATTGTTTTGTAATAGAGATGTAGATAGTTCGAGCTTTTAATACAGCCGAAGCTTAAGGTGATTAGACTATGTTCATTATTTTCCACTCAAAACATATAATTACCAGTAACAGAATGTCCGTCTAACTCCTTGTAAGTTATATCTGGCTGTGGCAATGGTTCATCAAGTTCGGCAGAGCGTTCCATAGCTAAGAACTCATCACTGGATACAGATCTGATTTCTTCCTTCCCACTGGAGTCGGAACCCGCTGGTATTTGCTCTAGTGAAGCAAGTCCATTGGGCTCTTTTGAATTACAAATAGACAGCTTCGAAGGAGATATTCTATTGAGACTAAAATGAAAATTATACCTTTATAAACACGGTATCCATCTAGGTAACAAAGCATGCATCATAAAGTTTATTGTTACATATACAAACCTCTGACATAAAACGATTTAAATTATAGAGTTACCTGACTAACCTGCTATAAGCTGAATCGTTGCTTGCTTTCCCGGGTGTATAATTTCCATTGGAAGCTACTTCATTCTTTTTATTTTTCCGTTCGGATTTTACACGTGGCGCTCTTTTGGTGGTGCCATTTGTTACTTGCACGTTGTAACTAACTATATCTTTCGGTTGGTTTTTTTCATTTCTGTCTGATTCATAGAATTTGTCCAAATCTTTGAGAGACTGCATCAGATCTTGCTCTAGTTGGTCTGTTTTATGTCTATTCTTTAAACTGTCCGTCTTTTGTAAATGCTTTTTTTGAATGGAATCCAGAAGGGAAGTGGAACGTTTTACAGAGGATGGGAATAGGTTTTCGTTGACATTGTTGCTGCTAAAATTGAGAGACATCGATTTATTAACCGGTATCAGTCCGTTATTGTTAACAACCTGCGGAGTCGAGCAAACACTATTCATACCAGATGACCTATTACTATCGGCAAACTCTGACTGTGTCACTATTCTAGTTGTTGAACTACAAGATCTTTTATTTTCGTGTTTTTGTTTATTGATTTCTTCGTCAAATGACGTCATAAATTCCTCGAGATCAAATTCCTCACACATCGATTGATCGTGTGTTACTTTCGATACTATACTATGCTCTAAAGAAGACATAATCCTATCATATTGTGCGCTTAAATCGTCTATAGTTGGGGCAGTGTTTTTATTTATCATATTTTTATTATTTATATTATTGTTACTTTCTACTTTAGTAACATTATGTTTAGTTTCATCTACATTATTATTACGTTTGTCGTTAATATTATTTTGGTTACAGCTAAATGATTCAAACTTAGAAGGTAAATTTTCGGTAGTGAGTAGTGACTCCATACTACTTATTATATCGGGATTATTCAAAATAGTATTTACATTGATGGGTAAATTATCATTTTCATTGATAAGTCTAGGATCTATATAATTACTGTCAATCATTGAAGAGTTTTCATCTGTAAGAATCAAATCTAAGTTTACAAATTCTTTTCTGTTATCCTCTGTCTTTATTTTATCTAATTTCAGAGGTTGTTTTATGGTAGTTCTTTGGAAACTGTGGTACATTGAAGTAGCTATTTTAGGGATTTTTTCTTTGGGTTTTGGAGTGCTATAGCTAGATGCTGTGTAACTAGAAAATGACCTATTCAAATTACTGTTACGACTGAAATAAGATTTATCGGGTGTACCTATGTTTTCTTTGCTGGATTTTGTAAATGTTGTATTTAATTTTTGTTGACTAGATTTTTTGTCATTTCGATTAATCCTAAATGAACTACATCTACTACCAAAAGAGTTATTACTATCGTTATTTGTGCTGCCAAATGATTTCATTCTTTGTAGTGTAGGAGTTTTCTGGTAAGTTTTATTAAGCGTGTCTTTCATCATTTTGGTGTTATCGGTTTTAAGGTGAGAAGGAAGTGATTTTTCTTTACCAGGACGAAGTATGGGAAGAGTTCTATTAGGATCTTTGGAAGTGTTTTGGATTTTTATAGGAATGTTTGTGTCCGAGGACATAAGTTCTTTCATTTGTCTAGCTGCCGATACAAACGGGTCATAACTGTCATCAAGTCTGAAAAGCAATAAATTGTACAAATTTAACGTATAGGCTATACTGGTGACATTTTGTTATCATGACTTATTTTTTCTGTGACCGCATTTCTGTCATTTTCTTGTCGAGATTCTTAAGCACAGGAGACCGTCACGGTCCTGTGTTTAAGGTCACTGTGACAAAAAGTCACCAGTGTGTGTGTGTAGTCTAAAGTTTAGTAGTTAAATGTCTTGTATTATATATATCAGGTCATTATAATATGTACTATAAAAGTTCCTAAAATGTTTGTTATCTGAGAAACTTTGCGTATAATGTGTAATAATTAATATAAAAATAGACTCACATCGTTCAAATCTTACAAATAAAAGCATCTGATTTTAAAATTAGGAAATTCAAGGAATAAAATGAAATTTAGGAAATGGATTATCATATCCTAACCTCTTATTTTCTATACGTGGAAGTTTGAGAGGTGGGGCCTCAGATGTTATCGAATGTCCATCGCTATTGTCGTCAGCGTTATCTTTAACTATAAATGTTTGATATTCTGTATTGGCTCGATTTTGTTCACCAAGCATTGTGTATTTTTTATGCGGCTTGTAAAGTTTTTGCATTCTGAGTTTATTACAACTAACTTTACGGTGCGGTCTATTCGTCTCGGATATAGATGGCAGTTTGAACTCGGAGGATACATTTTTAAGTGGATTCTCTTTTGCTTTCTTTTCTTCAAAGACATTCAGTTGATACACAGTAATATGTTCCATGTCACAAACATTTGTATTAGGTTTAGGAATTTCTCCTTTGTTGGGTTCTTGTGGAGTTATGATAACGTCTCCACCAGCTCCTTCCATCAGTACCTTTAGATCTGTTTTCAAAATTTCAAGGGTGTCCGAAAAACTGGGCTTTGACGGTTCTAATAAAAGAGGATTGTTATTTTCAGAACTGGTGTCTTTAATAGCATCGAGTGAATTTGTTCTCGGGGTATGAAGTGTTTCAACCTCTTTTTCCAAGAATTTATCTTCCGCATAATGGCTACTCATCATTTTATCTGTCATATTAATAAACTCTTCTAAATTAGCAGAATTGTCTGAAAATTTTGTATAAGTATCACCACTACCATGTCGACACAAAATATCTTGTACTTCGTTGTTGCCATCGTAATCTTCATATTTATTATGATCTTCATTACAGTAATCATTGCTGATGTCGTGTTCATAATTCTCTTCAATGTGTTCAGTTAATAAATCAGGTACACCCTCACTCAATTTATTTTCAAGGGAGTTAACGTCATAATCACTCCTTATGACGTTAACTCCCTTACTGCTTTCAGATTTATTTCCTAATACATTAGATATTGATTCGGTATTAGAAGTATTCTCAAAATTATTGATAATGATGTCGTCATCTCCTTGTCGTGAGACATTTTCTTCATTTTTATGTTTGGCGCCAATGTCACATGAACTTACCATAGTGAGATTTTGGTACAGTAGTTGAACTTTTGGTTCTTCCAATTTTTGTGCATCAGTTTCTGTTTGACTTACAATTTTGTTAGTATTTTTTGATTTTCTTGGTTTTGGATCTGTATTATCATATATTACACAAGGAACACACGGACATACAAATTCAGTATTTATCCCTATAGATTGGCGGTTCTTGTCTATGTCAGTAATAGGTTGGGAATCCTCGAGACTGTCCAAACTCATGCTCGTTTCTTTCATCAATTTAAGTTTGGTATCATTTCTAGTTTCATATTTTTTTATTTCTTTTTTATTTACTTTTATTTCAATAACCTTCTTTTCCTTAAGGGGTTTTCGTGACGTTTTTATTACATTTATTTTGGTTTTGTCAACTTTCATTTCATCCTTGGCAACTTTTTCTAGTACCGAATTAGTATCACACTCGGGTTCTTGTTGTTGCGTAAACATTGTCTTTTTTGGAATCGGTATTTGGCTTTTATCCACAGATTTTCTTGTATTGTTTTTGAGCTCACCTTTATATTTTTGATTTCGTTCACTATATTTATTAGCGAGTTCTTCAAGTTTTTTCAGCTGTTGTTGTTTTTTGACAGTAATTTTATTTCGATTTTTATTTTGTGGCATATTATTCTTGATGTTAGAATCGCCAATACTAGATTGTACCGACGTGGGATTGGTTTCTTGGGAATTTCTATTGGAGGGGAAAGGAAGGATAGTTAACATTTAATATAATATTTTACGACAAATAAGGAGGCAGGAACGTCAAATAAATACAAAAATAACGATATACATAATAATTAATGGAATAAAAAAAAATGTTACCTTCCTTTCCCCTTATTTGCTAATAAAAGTAGTTAATAGACACTAACCTGGTGTTACTAAGATCTCTAGCAAGCCTGGCTTGTCTTGCTTTTACATTGGCATCACCGGAGGAACTATTTTGTGAATTCCGAGAGTTTCTTATGACTGGCACATGAGGCGAAAATTCTTCGTGACAGTCGTTACTCGAGACAGATTCTGTGATAGCAACAATTACCAATTAATTTTAATTAATAATTTTGAATGTCAAAATATATAACACTGATAAATATACACGTACACGTCGTTAAAATAAATTGTTACACAATCTTAGGATGTCTATTTTTTGATGACTGTAAATTATCGTTTAGAATAAGGAAAGTGTAACAAGACTCGTAATTTAATAATAAAACGAATAATGAGATGGCAAAAAAAAAATACTATATAGTCCGTCAATTGCATAATAGATACTTTTTTTGTTTCAATTTAACAAGAAATGCATGTTGCATTTAAGAGTGAGATCGGGGGCTCGCTACGTCACAGTATTTTTGTAGAAAATGTATAAAAACGTGTATCGCAGTAATTTATTAAGTACGCATGAAAAAAAAAAAAACTTGTTTAATATTCTTCAACAATCTAGCTGCCGGACAGAAAATAAATCTCATTGATGGGATTGATAAAGGGATGATGACCATCCTTACTACAAAAGAACGAGTTGAATGAGACCATTGCGAATGAAATAATTGAAGCATGGAATTTTTATTTAAAAAAAAATGTACTTGGTTTTAACTCAATATTACTATTGAGTAGCTTCTGTGCCTCAATGAGGTTTATATTCTAAACCTGAATCTCAGGCTCCAGCGCTCACTCCCTCATTATACCGTTTTAGTATAAATAAACAACATTTGATAGTAATAAATATGAATGAAATAATTTACGTCCGCATTTGGAGAGGTTTTACTGTACCTGAAGCTCTCGACCTTGAATTTTTGTAATCGCCGTATTCCTTCGGCGGCGGTGGAGGCGATACGCCGCGCGATGAGTCCACGGATGTCGAGCGACTATTCGACGATTTGTCCCGGGTCTGTGAGGACCTTCAAAATCATTGAACTTTTAATTAGGCTCAGAAAAAAGATCTCAAATTATATATAGGAATATATATTATTTTATTATCAGTCCGCTGTGAAAAATAAACCAGTAAGTAGATGATATTGAGGTCAAGACGAGATATGATTTTACATAGTGGATTCTCAGCATTTGTTTGCAATTCACGGCAATATATACAAACAATTTTTATAGCTATAGTAGGCGTCTTTCGAAAATTACTCTAGTTAGATGTTTGCCATATTGTATAAATTCGTTTCGCTGTTCAGTCTTGTTCTAATTTATATACCTACGCATTTTTCAATACAGTAAATTAGGACAGAGCATCATGAAATTCACGATATGTCCAAAAATTGTTTTAAGATTACGACCTCTGTATTTTATGCGTAGACCGTAAAATTCACAATCAATTCTAAAGAATTGATAAAAATAATTTCCTTCGAAGCTTGATTCAAGCATCGACAAATTCTTATGAATACTGCAGAGCGATTCTGTAAATATCTGAACCCGAATTCGAATATCGCTTTAGAAGTGAATTCGGACACCTAAGTGAATTCGTGTTCGATTTTTTACGGAACCGCTCTGTTGATCGACGATTTTGCTCGATCGAGTGAAGTCATATGTGACTACGGAGCAGTGGTGAACTAGGGGTGGTGAGCGGTCCGCTCCGGACCTTTTGTCCTGGGAGGCCTCCAATGGCAGCAAGTTCCTTTGATCAAGTCATAAATTGCGCTTGCACTACCTTATATCTCTTACGTCCAGTAAATGCACACACAATACCAAGTTATAAGTCTGGGCTTGATGCCATCACTGTTACGAAGCATTGCTTACCTCCTGCCGCGCACAGGCGGCGCCTTGTACTGCGTGCGGGCGTTGAGCCGCTGCTTGGCATCAGCTAAGTGTGGCGGCGGCTGCGCGGGCGCCGCGGGAAGTATCTTCGCTTTGTCAGCGCACCACTCCACGTGACGTTCGAACGCGCGCACGCCGAACGCTCTGCTGCAGTGGGGACACTTTTGCAAGTCCGCCATTGGCTACGAAATAAGTAATTATGTAGGTACACCTATACGCCGTTAGTACACCGACGCTTGCGAATGCGAAACTATGAGAACTTTTTGAGAAATATTCGTGATATTCGGATAGTCATCAGAAACCGGGTCGGGTGGCAACCCTGAATGCGAAATACGTGCGTCTGTGCAAGAACTTATACGCTGTTGACTGCGAAACCGTACTGACAAGTACGCAGCTATTTCATCGGGAATAATAAAGCGAGACAAAAGCACATGCAAAACATTGCCATACAGCTGACAAGGTTTCGCATTGACAGCGATTGCGTCGGTGTACTAACGGCTATAGTCAACCGAACTTCAGGTTGATTTTGACATACCGCATAATAAGCCGCTAGTAAATAAAGTTTGAGGAGCGATGGCATAGTGGTTAGCTCATTAGGGTTGGTGACCATAAATTTACTATCTCAAGTTCCTTGGTGCTTTAGAAATATATTAAGCCGTTGATCCCGGTTGCGTCTGTCGTTAATACCTACCAAGCAATATGCACTTGGCGGGAGTGGTTGGTATGACCCATTCTCTTTGTATCTGGTTTCATACATAGAAAAAGTTATGGGTCAAACCAGAATTATAATACGTAAACTGACAAATTTGCTAGGTTTTGAAACTCGGTGTAAAGCAAGTAAAAATCGTAATCGATTTCTGCATTTTTTTTTGTTTTTTGTGAGTAAGAACACAAACGCGAGAACTTCACGTGATCAAGCATAAATACTATGATTAAAATACTCATTAAATAAAACAGAATAAATTTTCCTAATATCTATGTTATGATATGAAATATCTTTTTTGAATAAAAACACAATTGAATAAAAATGTTTAGGTGCTCAAAATGCTGTCGGCAAGGCAATACTCTTGCAATACAAAGTATGCTACCATGGAGATAAGATATTCATTATGTTTATGTAAATGTTTTTCTTATGCCTTGAAATTAATAACTTGTAGGCAAATACCTATACGCCGCGCCGTTTGTATAGTTTAAAGCTGTTTATTCATATAGCTAATGCACTTCACTCTTTATATTGTATGCCAAGCGTTGTAACATCAAAAGGAGTCTTCACTACATAGCACATAATGACCAAGATAATTTCCATTAAAAACACGGCGATGTCAACAAATAAAGTAATCGATATGAACCTTATGGACACAAAATTATAGTTTTAAGTCGTTAAGTAAGAAAAGTTTGTATAACTTGTGGTGCTGTTGACTTCTTATACAATATCTACTTATTACGGAGATAACTATAAATAAATTAATGTAGGACTTTTAAACAGCTTTTTAGATCTTTTTAGTTATATAATTTGCCGATATTAACTCGTCTCATATATTTATCTTCAATAATGTATTAAAAAAAGTATTAAATTAATAATTACTTTAGTAATAGCGTTCTTTACTGATGGCGGTTTGGGTTTTGGCGTAGCTTTGGCAGTATTTGGCGGACTTTTCTCGAGGAATGGACTGTTTTCTGGTAGACCATAGTTCTTTGGTAGATACTGTTCCAAGTCTGTACCTGAAAAAAGGACGAATACTAGACAATGTAAAATATTCAAGCTTATAAACAGACAGTATTCTGTATATATTTTATTTGTGTTAAATAGTGATTGATTATTCTTGATCATTAATTAAATAGTTATCTATAAGTAAAACCTTTAAAAATAATGTAGATCTGTCGATACAATTAAAAATAATATCTTCATTAATTATTTGGTAACAACAAATAGTTTTAAATTAGAAAATGATAAAAATAAACTCAAACAGCACTTCAATTATACTAACGAATGACAAAACACTTTGATCACAATCCACAATACATTTCAAAAGTCACAAGACAGACAAGACAGTTATAACCCAGGCATGCATCTTAAACTAAAGTTATTTGAAATACAAACCATGGTGTTAAGCAAGTTTTGATAAGATTTCTCGTAGGTGTTTTGTTATTAAATATACCTACTATGTTAATATTCTATGTTAATGAGAAGTGTTGAGACACTCTTGGTGAGGTGCTTGTCACATACATCACAATACAATATTAGCATGAGTTTAAATAATAATAATATATGACATAGTTATTGTAAGACTTAACTGTGGTAGACTGTTTCTTTTTCAGTAAATAAATTCTACATGGTGTCGCAAATATAAAAATATGAAAAGAAGTTGAACACCAATATAATCGGGGTATCAGTTACATTAGCTAAATGCGATTTGCTTTCTAATTGCGTACCAATCAGCTCAGTTACCTTTTTAACATTTAATACTTTTAAGTCAATAAATTTAGTATTTCAAGTTTTAGTACTAAGAAAGAACAAAGGAGTGTTAGTAAACATTCACACACGCTGGTGGCAAGTGAGCCACGCATTGGATGCTAATTGCAATGCAAATAGTCTACTCACTCACCAGAATTAACACCATTCTCCGATGACAGCCCTTTTTACCCACAAAAATAAAACATTTGTCAATATGTATAACAAAAATATCATGCTACAAATAAAACTACCTACGTAGTGATGATATACAGGTGATTGATAAAAATAGTATTTATAAACTGAAAGGTATAAAAAGGCTTCCTACTAAAAGATAGATAATGAAAGAAATTAGTAACCCAACCACCAAATACCACAAAACTCGTAAAAGAATATTTGAGATTACCTTCTCGTCTCTGTCTTGAAGAGTCGAACGTTTTTCGTTTTTTGATTGTCATCTTTTCGCATATTTTGACATGTTTGGCGAGCGGTTGTGGGGCGAAGGTGCGGCCGCAGACGGGGCATGGTAGTAGTGATAAGGGGGCCGTCGGCTCCGGAGGGACAGGCGCGATAGGATGGGTAGGCACGGGCGGGGAAGGCGGCGGACCCACGCGGCTCGGTGGTGGAGTTCTCAGCAGCGGCCGGAATGATTCATTGTTTGGAGCCTCCCCCGCCGGCTGCGGCGATGGTGTCCGCGAGGACTTCGTGTGCTGCTGCTGCTGCTGGAGTTGTCGTTTTTCTAGAAAAAAATTAGACAGTTCTATCTTATTTTTTTTAAATAGTTCCTATGAAGGAGTAAGTTCAAGGTAACAATAATTGCGAGACTTTCCAAATCAGTAAGAATACTAATGTCAATAGTATTATTTTCGAATTCATAATTGTTAGCTACGAGTAGGTCTTCAAGTAGCTCGGTGACGAAGTGGATAAGCGCCGCGGCCCGCGTTCATTGTGCTTGAGCAACTTTCGCAAGGGGTCGGGCACGGAATGGGTGACCAAAAATATTATTATCGCTTGCGAAGGCACGTTAAACCATTGATCTCGGCTGCATTTGCAGTGGTTAATACCCTCCATTCCGCCAGCGTGGAGGGTCATGGTACATCCTCCTTAACCATCCATAAGGAAGCCCTAAGCCGCTGCAGTGGGGACGTAAAAGGGCTGATGATGAGTATGAAAAGTAATTGCCACAGACGCTAATCAAATTTAATTAAGTGCATAATTAGATAACGAATTAGCTAATTTGACAACCGCTATCTAATTTTTTTTTTCAAATATTATCTTATCAAGGGTACTTTTAACAGTGGAATTTAGTGTCAACATTTCAAGGGCACTCGGTAAGTTAAACATGAATGACGCAACCAACGACCACAACCTCCATATTGATTAGGTAAATTATTATCGCGGTCACGCGATTCTCATTTATACTTTTTTATTTCTCCTAATGGTGTCAGGATTTCAAAATTTTAACATATAAAACCTAATTTTAACAAATACATTTAAAATTTCTCTAAAAAATCTAGTACGGTAGTAAGTATAAAATATAAAATAAAATACAAAACTCTTTATTGTTCACATTCTACGCTGAATTACAAAATTTTATAGTAAATTAACACTATTATGTAACAATTGGCGGCCTTATCGCTCAAAGCGATTTCTTCCAGGCGACCAGTGGATGGAGAGAGATAACATGAATAATGAAGATGGGGGTGTAAATGTTAACAATATATCATTGAGGCACACTAATGATTTATTAATGAATCTAAAAAAAAAAATTTCGTGCTGAATACACATACAAATGTACAATAAATAAATACGATGCAAAAATAAATTCATTAACAACATATATATACATACACCTATTAATATCAAAACAGGAAAAATCGATAATACGGCAGCAGTAAGTTATATTATTGTGTGAGTAGTATTCTTTAATATATTTTTTAAATATTTGTAAGGATTGCGCTCGCCTATGGAAGAGAGTTCCATAGACGAACAGCTTGTACGGTAAAAGAAGAATCATAAAATGAAGTGTGATGAGATGAAATCGCAAGACTCAGGTTTTCCGATGATCGCAAAGAGTAGGAATTTGAGCAATGCAGAAAACTGAAACGATCTTTTGGATAGCAAAGGTAACTAAGATTGAACAATATGTTACAGAAAGGGATAATATATTTAATTTAGTAGCTGAAAATTATGTTTACCGCAGCGATAGATTTGATATGAATGAAACAGTTTGTGGGTGGGCGTAGAGCGTGAGACAAAAGGGGTATTCCTGACCCTGATCTTAAATGGAAAGATCATTTGTGATTTTTCAATCTTCATTAATAAATTTTTGGAGAAGTCTGTAGTTTGTAGTCTCTTAGTAATCTATAAACATATTGAATTGTAGTATAGCTTCTTTATATTAATAGGTACTTAATTAATTCTAATTGGACGTTGATTGACTGCTTCCTTTTCGCCAAGTCACATTCTTAACGACAACTATTCCAGTTTAGTCCAAACATCTAGTGTAGAGTCAATTCTGTATAAGCAATAGTTGTATAATATAAGCAAATTAACATAACTGTTGCCAAAACAAGAAACTTTACCTTGAATATAATCCAATTTATTTGAATCTACATTCTTTAAGAAAAAATATGATAATCATCACGCAAGAATGTAAACTGTCAATCTGGCAAAAAAATGCGAAATTTTATTTATAAATCTTGAAGATATCGCGTTAAGTGTCTATAAAAACTATAAAAGTGGTAACTTTATAATTCTTTTTGCATTTTTGGCTTCTAGGATCCATTTACTATTTCCTCCATTACTTTACATGTTTAGTTTACATCATTTTCTTATTCTGTAGTCGTATACTAAGGTGCAAAAACAGTAACTAATTTTACGACTTTATTCTGGTGACAAATAAATATCCTGATTGCTGTAACCGGCGTATACGATTCGATGGTTTGTAGATGAAAAATTGATAATCAAAATATTGTTCAAATATGCTATTATTCTTATTTTAAAATAGAATGTCTACAATAGTAATAAGAATTATTGTATGAATATTTAACTCATTATTATGGTATTTGAAGATAATTTTCAGAAATTATCAAGCTATCGAACATAATTCATTGTTTCCACGAAAAATATTGCAAACACAGGGGTGCAAACACACGGACGTTTGCTAGCATTTTGTGTTAACGCAGGACAAATGTTATTTATGCCTCACATCAGGACTTTCATTTATGGATAGTGCGCGTGAAGATATAAGAAATCAATAATCAAGGGAGTTACTATGTGGAAAAAATAAAGAAAGATTTCACTAGGACATGAAAGATAAGGGAGGGAAGTTAGTTAGTTATATATTACTCAAAAGGCCATAGGTGTCAAAATATAGCGAAAACTACTACGGTAACTTATTTCAATGATCTTAGTGGTATGAAATAATGTGGAATAAAGTGGTAAGATTACTAACGGCCAACGTTTAAAGATTCATAGTTGGTATTATGTTTTTTTGGGTTTATTTCTCTATATTAGTATTTAAATTTCCTATTATTCTGCAATAGTTTCAAGAAAAAAAAATCTTTCATTTAACATCAAAAGCATTCCTCTCATAACAATAGATTTTGAGATATTAACTCATTTATATTTGCCTGTAAAGTTATAAATTACAATTACCACTCTATTCCCCGGAGTAATATCCTGTGATGGATAATAATAAAAAAATCATCATCAGCTATTAATGTCCTCTCTACCGGGGTACAGGTTTCCCTAGTGGATGGAATAGGCCATGACCCCCCACGCGGACCCAGTGCGGATTGGTGGTTGTTAACGTCTGGAAAAAACAGCAGGATCAACGGCTTAACGTGCTTTTTGAAGCACAGAAGAGCTCCGAACGCGCGTCTACTGCGACATTGAGCACCTCCAAAGTACTGAATAATACGTTGAGTTCCTTAAACAATATAATGGAGTAATTAATTGATTTTATAAATGTAGCTTAATTGAAAAAAAAAAAAAAATTGAACTGGTGGCATGCCCACCAAAAATGCGTATGCGCATCTTAATCGTAGAAGTTCGAGTGGAGCACGGCCGACTAATTCACTGTAACCGAATCACATAAACCATGCTCCATCTTAAAATAGGTACAAACAATCTAGATACATTATTGAGCAGCAAGATTCGTTCTTGAGTACGACAGATGTGGTAAACAAAACTACAGAAGACTTTAATAAAAGTAAAGAGTTTATTTTCATCAATGTTCATAAACTTCTACTGAAGTCGAGCGGAAGTTTTGCGTAAGTTATTAATATTAAGCGTCAAACTACAATAAATTGCTTGGCAGTGTTATAACCTATTATTTTACCATTTTTAGTCTATTACATTAAAAATTATATACTCTTATATTTTATGCAATTTTGTTCTTCAACGAGACAAAATGTGGTCTTATGTAATTTGAAAACAAAAATTAGTTATTTCATGTCACCTTCTCAAAAGCATTTTCAAAATCAGTCTACAATTAACAGAGAAACAAGAGAAAACATACATAAAAAAGACCCCCTTAGTACTTAATTTTGAAGTCGGTTAGCAAAATATGATGAATTTAACAGCGGTTATTATATTATTTTAGTAAGACTAGGTAACAACACTCAAACCACTTAGCTATACAATAACCAATTTAGTGTTGTTATTCACATCCATAGAGTAGCTCGGTGGCGTAGTGGATAAGCGCCGCGGCCCGCAATCGTTTTTGTAAGTAACTTTCGCAAGGGTCGGTCATGGAATGGGTGATCAAAACATTATTATCTCGAGCTGCTCCTTGCTTCGGAAGGCAAGTTAAGCCGTTGGTTCCGGCTGTATTTGCAGTCTTTAATACTCTCAATCCGCCTTTGGCCAGCGTGGAAGATAATGGCGCATGCTCCTTAACCATCAATAAGGAAGGCCCGAATCCCTGCAGTAGGGACGTAAGAGCTGATGATGATTCACATCTTATCTTAGACGACAACAAAGAGCTAATGAATTTATTAACTCAAATATTTTTCTAGTTAAAACAATATTATACACCGATTCTCACAGATGTACTTATTTACATTTAAATACGGATATTGTCGAACGATTTCGCCAATTTAACCTTTCCGAGAACAGATTCACCGTGCCCAATACAAAACGTGTAAATCGAATATGCGGCACCTTACGCTCACACGTGTCATGAACACCAATTATGGTAGAGTTAAATTCAAGTTAACAAGTCGCTTGCCGCTGCGCTGTCTGGTAGAAACACTAACGTACAGAATAAGACCTCGTCCACATGTTACCAACATAAAATAACAGAAAATGGCAAAAGCACCGGACACAATGTAACTGGGTCTCTTTATTAAAATAGCAATAAGTATATACTTAATAGAGCGAAAGACTTTTTATAAATATGGATTATAGAACGCTACAAGTGATTATAGAATCACTTGTAGCGTCCATAAATCTATATTTATAAACAGAAAGCATCAAATTACATTATAGAGAATCAATGCTAACTTTGGAACTAAAAATTCTAAACTTTTCTGATCTGGATTAATAAATGGTGGATCCATTTGGGATAAATGGATTTGGCATAATCATCATATTTTATGATTCGTTCGTCGTTACTAAAGTATATGTCAAAGTAGTAAAATGAATGAAATATCGCTATATCCCATGGCTAGAGTTAGGCGGTCGCACCCCCCATGTAGCTCCATAGCTGAAAATAAAAAAACCGCGTACACTGCTCTGCTCGTGCTACCAGTTGGCTTATATCTTGTGGTTAATTGTATTTGGTTTGAATCTTATATTGCTGATAATAAATTTCAAGTAAACAATCTTACTGAAAATAGGGATGAGGACTGGGTAAAAAAAAGCTATTTAGTCAGATAATAGAAAAATATTAGATACGTATTTTTTTTTGTTTCAATTTAAACAAGAAATGGCTTATAATAAGCATTAAAGTTGAGGAGAGGCGGCTTGCTACGTCACAGTTTTGTACAAAAGTGACGTCATGTGACATTTCAACTCAATGTATTGCCGTAATTTATTGATTGCGTAAAAATAAAATAATACGTATTTAATATTCTTCATTAGTCTACCTGACCGGTAACAAACAAAGATTAGTCGTCATTCATATATATTTTTTTGATAAGTATAAGATATAATAATAGTAAAATAAAGTGCAAGCGTAAAAATAAGAACTACCCCTTTTTGTTAGTCGGTTAAAAACTGAGAGAAATTACACTCGCACATCGTGACTCGAGATATTAATTTGTTACAAAATGCCGACTCCGCAGCCCGAATGTCTCCTACCATGATGTTATCTGAAGATCAATCTGATCAGCTTTAGACTGTACTCGGTATTTTTATTGCTGATGTAAATATTATCGACATTGTCATCAGTCTACGAGCCAAATTAGGAATCGCACTTACATAAGCGTGTAATAACAAGTAATTGCCTTATTAAAAATAACGATTTTCAACATATGGTTGACTAGGATGACTAGCTTTCCACCATCGGCTTCGGCGGTGTGATCTCTAGGGAACCGTTTAGTTGGGCAAAAAGTAAATAATTCTTAGTCTTAATTTGCATAACGCTTAAAATTTCATCAAAATTAGATTAGAAGTTTTTGCGTGAAAATGTAATAAACATATATCCTTTCTCATCTCACTAACTTTCGCAATTTATAATGTTAACGCATTATAAGAAAGTCAAATTAAATAACAACAAGAACATCGAAGATGCAATGGATACAAAAGATAGATTAAAACGTTTCGAGGGGTGAGATAGTGCTTGGTGTAGCCCGGTACGACAAACAAGAAGGTGTTTCCATGGGAAGGTAAGTATGATGTTGTATTCACAAAATTATTAAATAAATGAACACAATATCTATAGCATATATCCGAAAGCATTGACATATAGGACACTCTGTTACAAACCTAATGAAACATAAATAAGGCAACGGTTTCAAACACCTTATAAGATGGTAAGGCCACTAGCGTAAATGGCAAAACGATGTCAAGAATGTAACATCTAGAGAGAATAGCAACCGATCGGAATAAAGCTTGCATTTTAACCTTACGAACAAGTACTTACATATATATAGAATAATAGTGGAGAATGAAACTTACAGCCTGTCTGTAGGAGGTATCTATTAATATTCTGTTGTGACTTCAAACCGGATAACCCATCGGGAAAAGGGCAGGGCATAGTTAATAGCACCGACTTATTTTTGTCGACACCTAGTTTTAGACGTAAAAGTAAAACAAACGTTTTAAAGTCTTTGAATACCTATGTAATAATAATGATTCGTAAGGATATTAAAGGAATTATTAAATAATATAATGGCTTTTATATAAGAAAGCGTGTCCACGTTATGAACTTTAATTATAAGCCTCAATTCGCGTGAAGAGCTCAATAAACCACAAAATTACTTCCTATTATGAACATTGGAGATGTAGATTATACGGATATGGATTTTTCATGAGAAAGTAAAGTTTGTTTATAACAAAACAAATCACTGATAGTATATAGTTAATCAAGAACAACGAGAATTTATAGGAAAAAACGCTGTCAGTAATACTGTCGGGCAAAATAGCTGTGATTACGACATAATGCATGTGTAGATGAGCCAAATCGGAAAGGCGTTTGACAGCGTCCCATCAGCTCGTATTGTCAATCAATCTCATGTTGTGTACACAGTCACGAAATCGTCTTACGTGAGAATACCTCTCAAGAAAGTTTTAGGAAGGAGAGTATCGCTATCGGGATGATCTGAACTTTATTCGAGATTCGTTTCCACAGAAAAGATTGTTAAAGCAACTCCGTGAGAACCGACACATGTAAACAACTGTAGTTCACTGTGATAAATTCTAAGTTTATTCACTCGTTGGCGTATCTTATGTAAATAAAGGTCAAGTGAATTAAGCGCACTTGTTTTTTTACAATGTGTAACTTTCTTCATAATATACAAGTAGATTTTGTCTAAGCAATAACAAAAATAATGCAGTATTCTAGAAACACAAAACAAAAATTGATATTGTAAGTAGAAACATTTTAATCGAAAAACGTTTTAATATGTTCTGAAATTGTAACTTCCCAGTGAAAGTTAACAGAATCATATTACCAAAGGCCTTGCACCAGTGAACAAATAGAAATCTGATGTATCTTAACGCTCACTGCCACTGAACAGTTGATTCCGCCTATGAAAACGAATATTGTGTTCTCAAATAACGTCTGGCAGTGTGAATGCGTTCAATATAAATCATAGAATTCGTATGGTGCAGACCGTCTCGCTGCCTATTACAATTACTGTTTTTATCATCTGAGCGCACTCATTATTGGTATTGTGAAGTCATAATTTTCACCTCAGCAATTCAACATCATTAATTCTTTACGCAAGTGTTCTGCGTGTGGTCTGAAATTTTTGCCGTTCTCTGTCAATATGTTTATTGAGGTGATTTCAGACAAATTTTGAAGTTTTGGCATGGAATTGTGTTCTTAACATAAATTGATGTAAAGTAAAATATGGTAGGCTTAACAAGTGATTTTTATAACAAAAGATTGTTTCAGTTGAAAGAAAAAATATTGTCAAAATGTATACATACAATAGCCGATCGTTGCAGAACTTAAAAACATTAGTTAGTTAAAGATTCATGTAGCAATATACCTAACAAGCGTGATGACAGTACTCGACATTTAACCCGAAACGATAAATAATTATGCATTAAAGATACTACTTTAACAATAGATAAAAGTCACCGCAATGTCATGGTTAGCAATTTATTGTTAGGTGTGACGATGTGGTTAGTTTTCTGTTATATTTCGCCACACAAAGAATTATGTTTCATATGTATTTTTTAGAAAGTTTCTTTCGTATATCATGACATGAAATTACTATACATATAAAAACAACGAGATTTTTTAACACTAATCATAGGTATCGATTCATAATCTTGAAGCTATGCAAATTAAGCTAGGCTTAATCTGTAGATTATACACATAGTAAGATGTATGTAGGCATGCATACACACAGAGAGACAAATTATAATAGATAACATCAAATTACTAGCTTACGTCGATGTTATTCACGACCATACATTTCCCACGACAAGTCGCTTCTTTTAAATGCCAAGCCGGTATAATAATTTTGATGAAATTGCACAAAATAAGACGTCTGTTGAGCTGACAAGCGGGCAAAATGATTGATGATGGAATCATTAAGACGACGACAGAAAAAGTTATGACAAGTGAAAATTAAAATACTTTACATGCGAAGAACTGATACAAAATTACATGTTATTGTGGTCATTATGTTCCGGCAAGAAGGCAAAAACAAAGTGTGTGGAACTTAATAGCGTACTTCTGTCTCGCAATGGTGATTAAATTTTATTCCAGAATTCATATAAAATTATGGTACAAGATTACGTAATTCAAGGATATATCTAAGTTCTGATAATAAGTCAGTTTTGTACAAGTGAAATATTTTGGAAAGTCCACGATTTTATTTAAAACATTAAAAATGTCATGCCGATTTGGCAACTTTCTTATGATGTCGAAGACTTTCGTTATGATTTCATTCTATGGCCAAATGTGAAATAAGGAGTGTTAATATAAGAAAAAGTGGTAGAAATATGCTACTTAAATATATCAATTTCTAGAAAAAGTAGTAAAAAGAGAAAAAATTAAACAATACCGTATTTATTGGAGATGCAACCAAAATTTTCGTGTGCGATTTTTTTAATACAGTAAACAATATTCTTTATACGTCCGTGTCAGTCTATTATATAGCTAAAATTTTAATAGTATTCAAACACACAAAAAACCTGTTTTGCTTGCTAGATATTTATTTAACATTGATGATTGGGATCAAAGCCAAACTTAAGGAAAACATGTACTCGAAAATACACAAAAATCGCGTTGTAAATACAAGAGATATACTTGAAAATGAGTTTGTGGTACTGGTGCATGAACAAATTCAGCATAGATAATGAATATCAGAAGATAGTGATCTGAAAATTGAAGATATTAATAATAATTTCACATAACTCGGACTTATCTAGATAATTCAAATTATTCAAGATATTAATTCACCTTTCTTTCTACGACGAAAGCTAAAACCACAAAGCATTGTAATAATACCGACACAAATTCACTGAAACATGTAACACTTCTGGCACTATGTACAATACTGAACAAGAAACAATAAACGTAAGTAGGTTTGCTATGTTCATACTAGAATTACACAGGCTTATCGGTGTTTCACACACAGTGCGCGTACGCAGGCATTACAGGCGCCCTTAGTAAAGCAAAACACACATTTATTTTTATTATAAATCATCTTTGATATGCCTGCATAGTAACTTCCTTAACAAAAAGTGAAGACAAATTGTATATCACGTGCGTGTTTCTTTCAAAGAGATCTAATGTCACTAATAAATAATTTCATAGGTACTACATGTGAAAAATACTGAAAAAAAAAAATCGAATTTGATGGGCCCACATGTAATGGGTAACAAATGGATAAAATTTAAGAAATTAGAAACTTTTTTGAAACTTGAAATTAGAAAATCCACTAAAATGAAGTACCTAGTGTGCACAAACTAATAAGGAATCACGTTTTTTTCTCTATTGTACAGGAAACTTATGCGCATTATATCGTGTTCATCTTCAAGGTCTTACGGTTAAACACTGTCAACATTGTCAGTGATTTCAAAGTTTTTTTTGAGATTTACGATTTTTAGTAAATTTAAAATAGTTTCATAAATTTCTTAAGTTTTTAGCATTTATTGGTTAGTACTAGGGAATCAATTTTAAATATATTCATCCCTGATATTCACACCATCCCTGTAAACATTCAAGTTTCATCTTGGATGCTATTAAAATGTTTCGAGCAGCTGCTCGGTCAATAGTACATCGAACGAAGGGCCGTATTGTGTTCAATAAAAAATCAAATCAGTTATCCCAGCTGCTACTTGGATGGCGGAATGCGTCGCTACACTACTCTCATTCTTCAAGTTAACAAAAAAAGAAAATACTGATACAAATTGCAACCATCAAGTTTCACCTACTTAAGATAAACAAGAAAGATCAATTTAGAGCAGTATATATTATTCAGCGTAATAAAAACACAATAACGTGAATTATGTATTTACATAATTAATTATAGGTATGAAGTTGCATAATTTAACTAAACGATATTATATAAGTAAATATCGACTGACAGAAATAGGTACGCTGTAAATTGTTTGGAATAATTTACATAAAGACAATGGTTAAAAGGATACAATAAATAGGAGTTAAGTAGGCTTAAATTAAAATAAAAAAATTAAAGAGCTTACCTTTTTTGGAGCCAAAAATAGATTTCAGTTTGGACAAGGTTCTCTTCTTCATTTTTATAATATTGATACGATTATCACACCGGCTATGGCACCACAGGCAGCAGTTGCAGTCATTCGTTCACAACAGACAGAAATATCCACTGCACTGCGTCCTTAGGTAAGTTTTTCAGGCGCCCGTAGCTTTTTGCTCCTTTTGCCGCTCTTATTTCCGTGATACGAAAATAGGATCAACGAAACACTTGCACCGGTGCAGACGCATCAGTCATACGTACGTCACGCTTTATCAATGTCGATAGACTTATAAACTATCAAATTCATATAAACATTCAATACACAAAAATAAATGCTCGAGACACATTATAAACACTTTTTACACGACACTACAATTGTATATTCGTGATTATCTACTCATTTTTCTTATCTTGTAAGCACTATCATGAGCTAACAAATGCGTATAGATAATACATGCCGCCGAATAAATCAGACTAAAAATATATTTTATATTAACAAATAAAGTTATACTACACGCACGACTTTATAGTTAACCCACGAACAGTATACTGGAGCATCAAATATTTATAACTTGATTCGTAAACAAGATAATGTGCTGTCCGCGACAGTTCTTTAGAATAAGTTACGTTATACCAGACCGTTTACGAGCGAATGAGAAATGTATAAAGCGGTCTTAATGCTTCAGGCGGGAACCAATCGCGGTAACGGCTATTCTTGGGCGTGTTGCGGACACAACTAAAAGGCTGCGCACGCGCAACACATGAGAATAATGGGGAGTTGACCGCACTAAGTATCGACACTAAAATTGACTCAAAACTGTTTGCCCTCTTCCGCTAGATGAGTCCCGCTTCCGTTAAAACCCAATCAACCGGTGAAATTAGATAAAAGCAACCAATAAAAGTATCGTTTGAAAAGTTCCAACGTGTGAAGTGCTGAGAGAAGCGGAGACAACGTATCCGCTGTCTCTTTTAAAAAAGGTATTTAAAGAATGGCATAAGTAAGGGAAGTCGTTTGGGGTAGTCTGGAGAAAAGGGTCGCCTAGCACGCATAAATCACAAAGGGAGCGGTGCAAAAAACCCTCTTGCGTTAGTTTGAGAAAGATATAAAAAAGCTCTTGATTTTTTTTTTCCTTTTAATTTCAAACCATCCAAAGATGGTTATTGAATGGCTTAAAATAATTTGATTACAGAGCAAATCATATTATAAATATTAAACATATTTATAATATGATTAAGAGATTAGTGAGCTTATATCAATAATTTAGAAACGAAATTCGTTCATATATGTCCTAAAGCTATTCGGATCGACTCAGCGACTATTACCCGATAAAAAGAAGTTTTATTATAGCCATTAACGAATTCGTTCGTTCAATATCCTTGTTAGACTCAACTACGAAATTTATGTAAGAGGAACATTACTTCCTTTAGCCACTTGTGATGACTTAATTTACAGCGTAACAATGAAATACAGCCCTGATACAATTTTTACCCGACTACGGCGAAGCGAAAAGGAGGATTATGATTTTGACCGGTATTAATGTATGTAAGAATGTTCATCTGTTCCATTATAACTTCGCAACTACTAATCGTTATTGGACAAATAAGGTATCATTAGAAGCGTTTTAGTTATCCGCGTGCTATTATATGCTATGTGACGTTACATTAAATTGGCAATAGAGCCCTCTAGAGAGCATAAAGTAAGTAATTATAAATATATATATTATTCATACATTCCGTCCAAAGTGCTTAATGTCATATATACATAAATATATATATTGATAGCTTTTGATTGCGATTTCTTAGAGCATGATTTAGCTGTAGTCGGGTTTTAGTTTTTGAACTTATTTTTTTAATTCTAGTGACGTACATTTAGATATGATTAGACAGTTATTTAGGATAACTGCATAGTGCATATTATTATCATTTTGTGTGCCATTTCTTATAGCTAGGACCTAGTATGTAGGTATCTACACGATATTTATTTTTAAGGAGTGGTTTTAAATTATAAGGTTAGGTGATTTCAAGACGTCATTTTGAATACAACGTGGGCGGAAACGTCCACAAGAAAGAAGACTAAAGAAAAGATGAATTAATAGACTACGTGAGAGATGATACGGGAAAGAAAGGAGTGAATTGTATGATGATCCAGAAGTAAGGGAGAAGAATAAATATTACGCCTAGCCCAAATAAAGGAATTGGGAATATCTAAGGAATAGAACACGAAATTAAAAATACAAAATAATTAACACGAAATACAAACTAATTAATTTTTTTTTACTTAAAAGAATGATTTTTGGAGGTGGAATACTTGCTTAATACTTCATACTTAATACTTCAAGTTTACAGATAATCTTAAAGGGTCAGAATCAACTGATTGTGCAAAGTCAACACAGACACAGTTCATCAAATTTTAAGCACTAGCGCTAAATCACTAAACAAACGGCAAAGTTGTGTCACACCGTCTCAGTACGATCGTTTAGTATAGAGGGAGTGGCACTTTCGTCATCTGGGGTACAGTGTTTTTCAATTTTTTCCAATACACGACCCGACCCTTTCCATGCTTAAAAATTCTAGCGACCCCCTGCCCTATAAGCAAGACAAAAAAATGTAGTATGATTAAAATCCTACTAATATAACTTTCTTTATTTTAGTACATACATATTACTGACTTATGAGCGTTTCAAAAATAGCAACACGACTTGATATTTTATTGAAAAATAAACAAGTTTATCCTTCTTGCAAAAACAGAACCTTGACTTTTATCTTTTGCCGGCGATACCCTGGGTAATGACTCCATGACCCCTAGGGGTCGCGATCCACAGATTGAAAAACACTGGTGTAAACATAATAGCGAATGCTTCACAGCTGACGTGTGAAGGATAGGAACACTGCTGTGTCGACAAAAAAATAATAATTCGTTAATTCATAACAAAAATAAAGAACTTAGAGTAAATAAATAAAAATTAAATCAAGTAAGCAACGACGTGTTATTTACATAGGACTGTTACGTATGATATGAGTGAAAATAAAATCTTCTGTCATATATTAGAAAATATAAACAATTTTAGCTTATATATTCGACAAAATAAAATATTTTTATAACACCAATTCGCAAAATGTTACACTTTGGGAACTTGAATCCGCCAGTTTAATTCAGTGATATTATTATAGGTATCATATTGCTGTAATAGCTTTAAGATTCCTAATTCATATTGAAACCTTTAAGATAATAGGCGAAATTTGACCATGCCCCATTTTCCCCAAAACAAAAATTTTTGGAAAAAATAGTGGAAAACAACAAACGAACAGATTATAGGGAAATCCAATGTTTTTAAAACTTAATGTTTACGGAACCCTCCTCGGTTTACAATTCCAACTAGCATTTGGCTGGTTTTTATTGCTGCTCTTATTGTTAATGCTGTCATATGATTTCTAAGTCCCAAAACGACTAAAAATTATATGTTTCTCTATATGTATTGGATAATTGATTCTGTGATGAAAACAAGCCACTCAGTTACGGAGTTCGTCAAATGACGAGCTAATAACCTTTGCAATTTCTGTGAGCATATGCAGTGCAGCATCAAGTGCAATGGCGTGAGTCGGACCGCTTGCTCACACTCGGGTGAACATCCTGGCTAGAGTGACCATGACTCGTATTAAATCTTTGGATTTTTAACGATTATTTTTTAAATAAAGCGTTGAAATGTGATATTATTGTTTAAAAATATTACTCCAAAGGAATTCCCTATCTGATGTTTTCGAAAGAAATATCTGATGAA